GGCTGGAAGAAAATCCAGCTCTTCCAAGGCTGAAAACTGTCCCAGATTACTATTTACCAATGTCAACAGTTACTAAAAATATGTCTACACTGCACAATATCTCCTAATTTATGAGATACCAGAGAAAGCACAGATCTCTGCACAGGACAATTTACCCTGCTTCTCATTAGCAACGTTTGGTTGTTTGGCTAATTTACAGCCTCTGTAAGAGATATTGCACATCGGCTATTTTACCAAACACCCACTTGTACTAATGAAACCTGCAGCTGCACATGGCCCACAGGTCTCTGGCAGAGCAAGTAATGTCAGAGCTGCAGGAGGAGACTTCAGCAAAAGCTGAGAGCATTCAGTGCTCAGCAGAGAGGTGCCTCCACAAGTGGGCTGCTTGGAGCGCAGGTGCACCCTCCTGCAAGCAAATACAGAGTTCTCATCTCTGCCTGCTCTTGTGCCGGATGCACCACTGCTGAGTATTGCTGGCTCCACTTGTGTGTCACTCAGAGCTGTACTTCTCTTTGCTAAGTACATTAACCCCATCCCTCTTGTGCAATGAGAACCAGAGTCCTTTGGATATCTGAGTCAGATCAAGAAATCTGTGCAGTGTGTAGAATTTTAAAATACAGGTATTGTGTAGCTTTTTTTTAAAATCTTGAAATGGAAAGTTTCTGTTTGGAAAACTGGGTCCTCTATGTCCTTCTGAGAAGCTTATAAGAGAGAAAGCAGACTGGGGAGAACAGTGGCAGGAACAACCGATTGGGTATAACGCTATAGATGATCAGATGACACTTTCATAGTAGGAGTAATAACATCTATGGTGAAAGGAAGGCAGTTCTTAAGTTCACTATTAAGAGTTCTCCTTACCAAGTAAACGTTGCCTTTTGTTTTAAAAGAAGAAAGGAATACACCATGAACATATCTATCTTGCCTACCCCCCAGCAGAATCTTCTCCTGTCCCGTATATGTAAATGGTAAAATTACCCCTAATTTCCTTGTGAGTCCTAAAGTGCTAGAAGTATTTACACATCAACAAAAATTCTTCTACCTTAACAAGCAATTCCAACAACGCAGTGAACTGCACAGAGGTGGCTAGTAGAGAACAAAGAACACAGATGCAGAATAATGACAAATGCGTAGGAATTTTACTACATACAAAAAGAAATGCAAGTGTTTTTAGCAAGTACTGGAGTGAAAGATTTTCCAGTAAGTATGTCATTTAACAGAAAATTATTTTCTCCTGAAAATGGGAATAAATGCAACAGCTTTGAGTTAACTGTTTTAGCATTGCATGCAAAGCTAACTTGTGAATATTCACATTTGCCAACACCTAAATTAGATACTATAACTATCAATGTAATGTAGTCTTTTCACTTGGATATACAGGGAAAGTCAAAAACGGTAAAACTTATGGCTTTGTATGTAAAAGTGAATTTGTTCTAGAACTCCTAGTTCAGCTAAGGAACCATTCAGATGTCATTTTAAAACCTGATGAATTTGTTTACTTCCCTGTACAGACAATCAACAATTAGAGACTAATTTTCCCATAACGAGGACAAGATGCTCCATTCCAGAGAGGACATTAACCCAAGGCCAAGGTCTATCTAACAGGTATCCATGCCATATTTTAAGTAACATTTCCTTCAGTGTTGCTTCAGCAAATGAATTATTTCAAAAATGTATTTTCCTTTCTCCTTCGACCACAAACAAAAGCTAGAAGTCTTTGTAAGGTTTCATAACTGGCATTTTTGAGTGCATCCCACAGCAGCTCCTCCTGCCCTCGCACAAGCACAGTATGAGAAGCAGGGAACAGGGCAGTGAAACCAGCATCCACATCGCAATGGAGCACAGCAGGCTTCCAAAAACATGAGCTGGCCTCAGCCGCACCCTTACTGACCGCAGCTTCTTTCAAGATGGCAGCCATGGGGGACGACGATCACGGCGACCTGCAGCCCCACTTCTTGCACTCTCACGCTACGCGAGGAGCCGCGGTGAGCAGCTGCCCCGCACCAGCAGCGTGCCAGCACGCCGGGGCCTCGCCGACACCCGCCCGCCCACAGTCACGCTGGGACACGCCGGGTTCCACAGCAGGCTTGAGGGGAGCCAGAGGCCCCCAGCGGTGGGGCACTGTCTGCCCCTCCGGACGCTTCCGCTCCCCTTGTGGGCAGCAGCACGAGCACACTGGGGGCCACAGGCACCAGCCCTGCCCCCAGCCACTCCCCGGGGCCCCTCGTGGGCTCCTGCCACCCCCAAACGCAGAGCTCGGGCCTGCCGCGCACCCTCCTTCGGCCTTAGAGGGAGGGGGTGCTTTAAGTTACTAAGATTATCATCTGCCGTTACAAACCTTGCTGGGGCAAAGATCAAGCTATGTATAGTAAAATATTTACGTTCCTTTCCTTCTGATTTACAGCTCCCATAGAGCTCAGAAAGGTGCTTGAGATCCTGTTGCAGCATGAAAGGCCTTGAGGACATTGGTCTCACCTCCATGTTTGATTAATTTGTTGCTTCCCAAGTCAAGGTCTGATGGTAGGGCTAAGACAAGGGTCAGGCTGAAGGTTCAACCACAGCAGTTCTTGCAAGAGCCCAAGGCCAGAACCAATTACTAATTAAAGCCTCATTTACCAGGACCACTTATCAAATCACAAAGGAAACGCTGCAGTTTTGCAGAAGGAAGAGAGTAAATGCTTTCACCCATGGCACTATCTTGGACTGTACGTGCACCCCATAATTCACCTGTAGAACACATGCATTGGTTTTGAGGAGCTGACAGGAAAATGCAGCACAGCATTTATTGGAAGTATTGATTCACACGTTATTAGGAACACATTACCACTTTAGGAAAGGTTATCAGAAATAGGATTATATTAAGTAACATCAGATGTAAACCAACCATCTGGTCCACATTTGCATACGCTCAATGTTTGGGTTTTTTCTAGATGTGTCCATACTACATAGGTATGGTTAGTAGACCTTCTGCTGGCAGAGTATTTCATATGGAGTGATCCATCCTGGCACTGGCTTCCAAGAAGAGAGATTATAACACAGTTTAAAAGAAGGAAAAAAAGGAAAAAAAAAAAGGGGGGGTTGGGGAGATGGGGAGATGGGTGGGAAGACATATGAATCTACTATCCTAAGTTCCTAAAGCTCTGTTTGAGTCTGGCAAGCTAAGCTGGAAGCTGGTTTTGTCCTTATAGCCAAAAGCAGAATATCAGTGGAAGCCTCCCCCAAGAAGAGAAAATTTACATCTTTTATTAGGTCTTACAGATAACCATACTATGCTTTATCAGTAGCTACTGTGTGGATCAAAAGAGATATACAATTAATGTAAACATACTATATTACTAAACTAGTATTACCACAAAAAATGAAGACGACTTCACCAGACCAGAAGACTGCTTATATCTGGCTAATCTCAAGAGATGTTTTTAATAGTTTACAAATAGTCTCATTATCATATATCTTGCAGTTCTAGAGCTGAGGCACTACAGCACAGGCATCAAAAATCTCACCCAAATTCCCACTTTTATATATGCTACAACTAAAATTTTTAAAAATAATTTCCAGCTAACTTCAAATCTAAATCTCTTAAATTTGTCCTAAATCTCTGGATATCAAAAACTTCTAACATATTAGCTCCTGAGAACCATTATTTCCCAAATTACTTTTTTAAATATACCTGAAATATATTGATAATTTAACAAACATGTTTCAGGGTTACATGATTGGTAAGTAAACAAGTCTTTGGTAAATAATAACTACTCTGTTCTTTATTCAGTTAGAAAAATTAATTCATTTTTAAATCTAGATTAACTTATGGTTTTAATAATTATATCTATAATGAGTAAGGCTCATATGGTATGATGCTGAGTGGGATGAATGGCTGTATGTAGAAAAACCTGAATGACGTGTTCAGGTTACAAATCCTGTTAATACTAGGTTCCTGCTCTGGCTCTTCTTTTTGGGCCTTTCAGCCAGGCCCAGGAAGCTGAATCTGAATGAGAGCTTTCTAATGAATTTTATTTCCAACATTTAAAGGCGTCAGCAATCTAGAAAATACTGTCCATTGCAAGAATACATTCTACAGTAGGTACTGGATTGTGTGCTAAAAACTACAACCAACTAATTACTTGAAGTTTGACATAATACATTATAGCTGCAGCATTCCCTAAAAATCTCTGCTTTACCAGTTGTTCAGTAAAACAGAAAAACTATGCACTACGCATGCTTCTGCAAGCTGGAGATGACTGCTTGCTCCCAAAGGACACCTAAAGGCACAGGACATAGGTATTGTGAATGAAAATCCAGTAACAAATGTTGGCTTCCATTTTATTAGAAGAATCCAATTAGAAACTGAACGCTTAAACTGGCACTGTTACTGTTTGTGCACTAGATGCCTTCACTTTGGCTAAAAGATAATATACCATGTCTTTTAAGAAAAATAGCAGCATTAAATAGACCTTGTAATTGCAGAAGAGAAATAAAAAGATGTCTGCTTTAGGTTTGGCTTACAGAGTTTTTGGGATTATTTTAAACATGTCCAAGAAATGGTCAGATTATTTTCAATGACTGTTACAGTTTTACTGCTCTACTACAATTTAATTATCTTCCTTGTTAAAGGATCAATTACATTTGAGACAATAAACAGTATACTTTACAATAAATAATATTCAACTCAAATTATTGTACTTATAAAATAACATCACTGTAATAGAATCTTCAAGATCAATTCCATTTTATATATTCTGCAGCAAAAATAACATTTCTAATTGGAAGGAATTACTTAGAAACCTAGCAAGATCTACACATTCACAGGTGTGTGTAAACAACTTAAGGTTTATTATGTTTCTAGAAAAGCTATGCTTTTACAGTAGGTTTTCAGCTTAATGTTATCATAATATGGTAGTAAATATATAGCAGTGCTTATATATAGCTCCATCACAATTTTTATTTGAAAAAAAAAAAATGGAGTGCCATTATTTACAAAGAACAGCAACTTTCCTTTTTTTTTTTCACAAGTGACTGTATCTGTGTGTGAACAAAATGTTAGGGCGAGGCATTCCAGATGAACTGCAGCTAAGGTTGGACGAAGATGATTTCATGGTGAACAGTGAAGGTCCTGGCAATAAATACCTAGAAAGGATATGAAAAATATAGCAGATTTTACAGGTAAAGTGACATTCAAGAGGAAAAGAATTAGTTGTTAGCACGCTGTACTTTGTAATTGTTGTATGCAAGAAATCATGTACAATAAACACCATAAAACTTACAAGGCACTAGAGACTAGCTAGCTCAGGAAAAAGACCTAAACTCAGAGAAATTCTTAGCAACATTTCAAGATGTGTATGAGGTTTAAACATCTTTCCAACACTTTATGTTTAAAGCAAGTGGATAAGTAAAACAATCACATCCTATGTAACACTGGTACCAAAACTTAGTAACTTTGCCCATTGTTCTTTGTTATAGTACTATTTACCAGCTTGCAAAAAATTAATCAAAAAATTAATTTGTAAAAAAAGTTATAAGGGAAAACTCAGAGATTTTCAGCTTTGGTTTCCAGCTGTAGTTCTCTAAAAATAGACATACCATCATCACTACTCTAGTAAAGCAATCCTAGTAAGTCACAACAGTGGCTATTGACCTTTTAAATTCAGGCAACTACAGCAGGTATTTTATGTAGCACTACAAAAAAAAAAAAATTATCACATGCCTAATATTAATATTCTTAAATCTTTTTGTGTTATGATTTTCTAATAGTTAATTGCAGAAATCATTAAATGAGCACAGCAAGTGTGCATCTAGTTTTGCAACACAGCTGAATTTATCAAAATATAAGAAGTCTGACTTTTTACACAGTTTGATTTTAGCTATTACATTAAAGATATTTTGGTATAATTTTTGAGCTCCCCTATTGTTTTGTTTACACTTTTAATTTTGTGAGGAAAAAAGTTGCATTAATACACATTTACATTAATACTCCTATTTGCTCTTTTCACGACATGAAGTGGATTTACAGTTAGAAGACAGGACTGAGAATGAATCTGAAAAGTGAAAAACTCTGTGGCAGTTCTCATTATCTTTGTCTTTTCCCCTATAAAAACAAATTTTCCCAGCTAAAGAGGTATCTATTTGTAATCTTTGAAAGCTTTAGTTTCACAAACATTTGTTTAATATACACAAACAAAACAACAGATTGGTTTGTGCTCAGGAAAAAAACAATGTTCTTCAGATGAGATTTTTATAAAGCCCTGAAAAAAACTGACTTCTTGTACATTTATTAAATTATGCTCTGATCTCTTTTTTCACTTCACACAATTTTACAGAGAGTCAAGAAAACTGTTACTAGTAGTGCAGATTCTTACACCATTTAAAAACAGAAACCTGTATGAAAAGTGAAATAATATTGTGGTTCTGCCATTTCTAGAAAAATAGTTCATTACCTTACAACTGTGGGCCATACGGGCAAGAGTGTTTCTTTTCATATGTATCTTTCATTTCACAAATTCAGAATATCAGACATACAGCATGTTGCTGTATCCACAGCAGAAATGTAAGATTTGTGGAAACTAAAAACTGCAACTTTAATAAATCAGAGTTGTCATGACACTCCATTGCTGAAGGCATGCTGATACTTAGGATATAGAGTGCTTAGATTCCTCTAGCCTGTGAAATTTATGAATAAACTTCCATTTGGGGTCCAAAGAAACACAGAAATGAGAGATGAGAAAGTTCTGTTGGAACATCCCTTTTCCAAATGCAAGCCCGTTAGCTGCAGTCCATTAGTGTAATCCAATCACTTTGAATAGTTTGTGGCTGGTCATGATGAAAAAAATTTCTGCAGTATTAACAGCAAAAGCAATAAAAACTTCAAGGCTGAAGATTTTCTAGTCTTAGCTAATCCAAATGACTTTACCATACTCCTCGTATAGCTCAGTAGATGTTAATACTGAATATGATTTGTTTTGTGGCTAACATACTTCTGCTTTTGCTGTGACCAAACAAATTCAGTTTCTGGGTGGTTTTAATTTATGTTAGAGTGCCTTAAGATTCATATGACAATAACAAAAGGGTTCAGTATATCAAATACCTAGTCTGAGATACAGCAAGTAAGCAATTAAGTCATAAAATAAGTTTAACAGATAACATATCAAAGGTTGCTTTTCACGTAATATTTCACTCATAAAGCCCTTCTATGAAATAATGTCTGTAAGATGTTTTATATAAATAGAGCATTTGTAAGTTTATATACATAACAATTCAAATTACCATTATGGATATAATTTGGAACCTAAGTAATCTGAAACTTACATTTAATTCTCCACCTCCAACTGTTAAACTGTACATTGTTGACTCCCACAGCTGGAGCATTTTCAGTAATCCCTGTACTGACAATGTTATAATCCCTACCATACCTGGCTGGAGAACTAAACCAGCCAATGGAGAATCAGGTAAGTGCCAAATAATTTTTTTACTATATGATGCTGTTTTGCAAGGTTTGAAAATACATTTCTGCCCTGTAGGGTGAAATAAATAAAAGTTTCAATCTGTAGGTTTTGGAAACCAACTTTGCAAAACTGTGCAATACAGTAAATCAGATGGCACTTACCTGACCCTTGGCTGGAGCTGTGCCCCTATAGCATCCCACTGCGAATGTGAGGCCAGAAGTATCACACATGTTAGGATACCTCTAGGAATGCAAATCTGGAAGCAATGACTTTGAGGGATCTGAGAAGGGGAAGAAAGGAAATTTTCAGTTCACTTTATAGAAAGCTTTTGCTGCAGCTATTTGGGCAGGAGGCAACCAAGACTTGTAGTTTCATACAAAATGCGTATGTCAAGTCTTCTTTTAGTAGCACTTCATGAGTGGGCTAGAGAGATCAGAATCATAGAAACTCAGGATCAAGGCAAATGTTGGGGAGTTAGTCTGTCTGGGTTGGTTTGGGGTTTTTTTTGGGGGGGAGATAGGGGGGAAAGTGTGTGTTTTTGTTGGTTTGTTTGTTTGTAGTTTTTTTGGTAATACATAATGAATGCATAATACATAATGAACTAGTATTAAAAAGAAGTGTAGTGGTAGCAACATAGACTGAAACCTGTTCCAGTATTATTGTTTATACTTATCATTTAGGAAGAGGATATTGAAATGCATACCTTGTATCATCCCAGTGGGAGCTAATCCCAGTTGGAGATCCTCTTGAAACCGACGAATATTTGTAAACCACCAGCAGGCAATGCTTACAAAGCTGTACTATTCGTTGGCAACACTGGAGCTGCTCCGGAGTCACCACCTCTGTGCTTTTACTGAATATGGTTTCCCAAGAGCTCCTGTTATGGAAAAAGATACGACTTCATGTTTTCTGTCACAAATTGCAGTCTGAGAGGTTAACTGCTTTGTATCAGACTTAACAACACAGGAACAAGAGAAAAAGCATGACCTTGCCTGTTTACAGGAAGGGGCTATACTATTTAACACAAATGCTGGCAGATGCTGAGTCCAAAACACAAATTAAGAAGTTAATCTCCTGATGTGAAATGTCCACAGCTATTTTTCACTCGGTTTGTTCCCTCAAGTGCTTATAGGGCCATTACTTAGGTTTAGCACATAAAGATTTACTGTCATGTTATTATATATGTCTTACAACAGGAATAAGAAAACCCACTATTTTTAATGGGCTAACACCTCAATGCGAATGTAATCTGATATTAAAGGAATTAATAAAAGTCACTAATTATTTCTAAAATTGACACAGCATAATAATACTTTTCTAATTTAAGTACATGATACTAAGAAACAAATATGAAATTAATTTACAGGAGATCAGTATGTGCCCTGCTTCCTTATTCAAATAATCAAATGAGGAGAATTTCCCAGTTTAGTCACTTAAATACTACTTACTATTCCATCTGGTCATATGGGGTTGGTCTTCTACAATTAAGTGCAACTTGCAAAATGTATCTATAGACACACTCCTTTTTGAAATGCAGACCATTATAGTTTTATTTTCTTTAAAAGGCATTTATTTAAAAAAAAAAAAAAATCAAATCCCACCTTACCAATATAAAACAGGTAAGTTTTACCACAGAAGACATCAACAGTTCTTTGCATACACCTTTACACTCCTGTTTGTGCAAAATCCTGACCAGATTACAACTCATTACATCTGTTTTAAAGGCAACAGGGTCCCTGTAAAGACTTTTTGGCCAAAACATTATCCAGTGGTACAGATGGTTTGTAAGCTAGAGGTTTTTTGTTTGTTTATGAAAGAAACACTTAATTGAGTGAGGAAAATTTGTTGCATCTGACCTCAACATAGCATCAGGATGATTTAGCCTTGTCCACTGAAATCAGCAGTAGGTTTCACAACCCTCGTGTAGCAAGTTTGTCCTTAAAACAACATCAAAGAACCAGCAAGCTTACTTCTGTCTAGTGAGATTTTCAAAATTACACTGTGTTAGTATGGGATTATGAACATTAATGACTAAAAGATAAACTGTATGTATAACTAACTGATTTTTCAGTCTGGCTCTTCAATCCAGATGATATGTTCTAACTGAAAGGGTTTAAGTCCTACAGAATTTCCACTGCACACAATTTTCAAGTGACTGTTTCATTTCATAAACAGAATAATTCTACTACTCAAAGAACTACTATTTTCTTTAATATTTTTCTCCATATTGTCTCCTGTCTGGAAACTTTCCACATGTATTGTTACATGGAAGTTAATTTATTGTCTTTACTCTTTCCTCATGAACTCACGAGGAAAGCAGCAAAATGAAGTTCTAAGTATTACATTTGTTCAACAGATTGTCAGTGCTACATATCATTTCATATACTTGTTTAATTCAATCCATAAATCTCAAAAATCCTGTGGAAGAAACTCTCCTGATAAATTCCTTAGGTTCTGGGCTTTGAGGTCTGTCATCACTTTCCTACAGTTAGGAGGGATTTTATCAGTGAAGAATAATATGTGGCCTGCCTATAACTATGGCCAATTGTGAACATCGTGGTATACAGTTATCCTAGTAATAAATACTGATATTTGGGAATATATATGAAAAGTCATTAATATTCACATATAAGTGTGCCTGTGCAACCTCCTCCATGTGCTACACAGATCCAGTTCATACAGTATTATACTGCAGTCAGCAGGGCTCAGAGTACTGTTACCTGAGGAAGTTCAATTTGTTATGCTGTAACTTTAGTTTCCACACGTTAGTGAAAAACCATGGACTCCTCACCAGATCCAGAAAAGACTATAACGCTTGATCTTGCAATACTGTCAGTTATGCACTGCTCTTTTTATAACCATCTGAAGTCAAAAGGTTCTACTGTTTTTCCCTTATTAATTTTAGTTGTTTATTATACTGGAAGTAAAAGAAATGTAGCTTTATGAAACCATTTACATCACAGTTACGTCACTGAGGTTTTGTTTTTCTTCATTCTTTTTGCTAAAATAGCATATGACTAGCAGAGATCTAACCAGCAACAGGAAACCTTACGGCTATTAGCTCTGTTCTTCTTCCAAGGCATATATCTTGCAAATAGTCAAAGCACCATACTTGATTTATTTTCATATACTCATCTTGTTTTTCAATTAGCACATTAATGCCTGTTCACAACATGTCTCCCCAAATTCTATGCATGCCCTATGGGTTTTCCAATCTGTTCTCTAAAGCAGCACAATGAGCTCTAAGAAAGAAGTTGGCCTCTCTGCTACAGAGGTGCTGTCGTGAGTTCTCTGTTGTGGATTACACGGTAAGAAGGATTCTTGTAACATACATATTTATTGAATAAACAACATATGGGGAAGGTACAAGCAGCCTTCCTGCCTTCTGTGAATTCTGTATTAAGTCTATTACATGCAGAATGATCTCTACACCTGCTGGATATTTGTATATTACTTTCACATTATTTTTACAATCTTTTACATAGCAGCTTCTCTTACAAGGAATTGGATCTTTGTTAAAGAATTTAGCTTCACTTTGGAGTCAGCTGAGTCTTGTTCTGCATGAATGAAATCATTGTTAGATGAGAAATCCTGCTCTTCATTGAATTCTTCTGCTGGCTCAAAGACTCTCCTCCCAAGCCAAGCAAATAGCAGAGTTGTTCAAAGGTTTTGAACAAAAACCATTCTTTTTAGAGAAAAAAAAACTCAAATGAGATTTGCAAAGTAAAATTCAAAATAATAACAGCATTATTAACAGGGAAGGTAATTATTTTATGACCACAAAAATTGAGCTCGGACTCAAGACTCCACACAGCTCTGCTGGCATGAAGAAGGGACCCTGCAGCTGCTGAAAATTATTTTTTAAAAAAGCGTTTCAGATTGGAAACTCAGAAAACTTTTCTCACCCTATTTCAACTTCTGGAGTGTGCTGCATTCCCAATACTAAGCTCTAAAAAATCTCAAGGCTGACATTATCTGCATGTTCCCACGGCCCATCTCAGTGACAAAAATGTGAAGGCTTCTAAGGGCTTGCACAACAACAACAACAAGAAGTCTTCAGCAATGAGAATATAATGGTAAAAAAAAAAAAAACAAACCATGGTGACCTTTTGGATACTCTCAGATCCCTCTTCATCTTAGGAATGCCATTATCCATTTTGTTGGGAAACAATTAACAAGTGCTTTACGTGCATTCTCTACATATGACAACTGACTATACGTGAAGAACGTGTCAACCTGACAACTCTGTACAAACAATATCTATCAGCATCCTATTGTGTTTACTGTGGTTCATTTGCAATACATTTCTTAGCACAACTTATGCAACCTAATCAAAACTCCTCCCATTCTTTGGATGTTGTATATACTTACAGAGAAAATGTGGGTTTGTATGTAATATATTTAATATATTTAAACATTTGTAGTCTTATTTTATGAATCAATGCAGGGGGGAATTATTTTATAACTATGATCTGATCCTCCAAACCTATCCTTACATGAATGCCCTTGATATCAGGAATGTAGATTTTGAAGTGTAGAATATTGAACTCTCAATATATGGCCTCAACTTTTTTCCCCCTATACAAAACTTCAATTTGCTACCCAAATCAAAAACATCTGCTTACCTCAGCATGGACATTTCCCTTTATGTGTACACTTAAATTCCCAACAGCGTGGGAAACCATGAATGTAATCAAGCAGAGAAATTTGAACTCGTTACTTATAAATCACAGAACTGACACTGCATTTGGCATGAGATGTCAGCTGCACTTGTGACTGAATTCTTCCCTTCAAAGTCTTGAGCTCAGATCCAACAAAGATTTCTGTTGATGGTAAGTCCACATTTGACACTCACAGTGGTCTGGCCTCAAAACTGTGCACCATCCTATGAAAGAGTTGACCTAAAGCTCATACATTTTGAAAATCAGGGTTTTTTTTTTCCTTGGGTTATTATATTTGTAAACACATTACTAAATGTCAGGTTCCATTACTGAAATGGTTGGCCTGGATTATTAGATTTCTAATTATACTATATCTTTAGGTGGTTTTAAAACAAGTTCAATGTATTATAAAGGAAGAAAACAAGCAAAGTACACTAGCATTGATAGTAATTGTAAAGTTATGAAGAAGACCAAGATAAGAAAAATAGGCTTACCCAGAATTACAGAAACAGTTCCACAGACCTTGACCATGGCTCCAAAGTAAGCGATTAAATACACGGTTAAAGAGTCGGCACAGATGTAAATTTTCAACGTCTCGAGCCTTCCAGACACGCTGTAGAACTGCACGAACATTCGTCTTGACTATATCCAAAACCTAGGAAGAGTATTCCAAGGAAATCAAAAAGCAAAGGCATATTGCAAAACCTAAACCCAACCGTTCGCCGCTTCACTGCACACACAAATGACTGCAGAGCTATAAATTCCCACAGATGTCTATGTTTCATTTCTGTGCATTCATCAGCAAACTTTTATGATACACCTTTTCTGTCAAAAAACATTTGCAAAGCCAAATAAAAATATTTTATTATTACAGAAAAGTTCATTTCTACTTTTTTTAGCCTGTCCAATACTAGCTTGTTTCAATAACAAAGCGTTTAATAAGAAACAAAATGGACACAATTACAGACTAGAAGCAACATAATTAACGACCCAAATATTATATATTTGAAGATTATCTCTTCTTTTCCCACTCCCTTTTAAAACACCATCTATTTTATAAGGAACTAAAATGCCCTGAAAAGCTACAAACAGGTTTTGATTTAAAGACTATTCAAGCGCAGTGTTACCCTAGATCAAACCATTTTAATTTACCTCTCATGCAGGAAACAGTGTAGTTACATCAGTAAGTATGAAAATAATCTTCAAGATACTTAAAACAGCTATGTTTACACAAATGCAACAGTTGTATTACACGTGGGTTACACTTAAATACAAGCATGTAAAGATGTGTGTAAAGAAAATGCTAAGCTGCAGTGAGTATAGCCCTGAGAGTTTTACACCATAAGTCTTAGCTACTCCGTGTACACACAAACCTACAGGCAGTCACACATCCAACTCTTGAGAGTCCTCCTGGATACACCTTTACACATCCCACTGAACTGGGACACAGAAAGCAGGATTCATCTTGCTTGCTTTCAAACATCTGTACATCCTCTTAAGTCACGCCTCTACGTTCCCTCCATAATCACTGCAGAGAAAAAGGCTCCAGAGTGTCCTGGATTTAACTGTCCATTAAGTCAACATGTTTTCCTGTAAAGGGGACACCCTTACCGCCTCTTTCACAAAACTGCATCTTCCCAAAATCTAATTAGATTCAAGTGGGTGGTGAACCAACAGTTTATTTGGTACAAGATGTTGCAAATTAGAAGGTACAATACTCTCCTGGGAACCTTTCAGATGTATGACAAATTGATTCAGACAATGAAACAGCTGTCTCTCAGAAGGTGGAGGAGATTTAGTAGAACATTGAAGTATGGAAGCATGGTGTAGAACTGCAATTTTTTAGCCCTGCATAACAAACCATTGTTTATAAACAGTCTGATTAGACCCCATGAAGGAAACAAAGCATAAATAAATAAAATGCTTCCAATAACACAGTTAAGCTGCATAGTAATGTTTAGCAGGCAGAAAATCTATAGATACCTCAGAATGAAAACTTCAATGACATATGTTATTTAAGGTCTTTTTTGAGAACCTCGGACTAGTCTGCATGCATAGGTCTTGCACCAATTCCACATGCATAATAAACCAACATAAATACAATGCTTTCTTCTCTGTTGGGAATGTTTACGAATGCAGGTGTCTAACACACTGAAAACTACACCTATGGTCTCTTCCTCCCAGAGAGCGAGACAGAAAGAGTTGTAAATTGTAACCTAATAATGATGATCTTGTTTAATGTCTGCAGAAGCTTAACTCAGGTTTTGCACTGCAAGACGCTTGTGGAATGGGTCCAGATTTTCAGACATTCCCTTAGCAGTGTTAGCCTACTGTCTTAATGCTTCTCCAGCAGCCTTTCCCTGATGTCTTGCCTGATTAAGGCTTTCCCATTAAAATGGTCAATAGCTGTGACTGTATATACCCATTTGAACCAGCTAAGTCTCTAATTCAAATACAGGATCAACCATACATTTCTTTGCAATGTCACACTGACTATTAGTAATTTATGTCCCTGTGTGAAATAGAACAACTTCATTCCGCAGAGATTCTTGCATCTTAAAGCAAGCCACAGGCTGCCAGGTACTCTGGGGGAAAAAAAAACACAACTTTTTTGCTCTTTTTACTGTGCTGATATTGCCAGCGGGGAAAATGTCCCAGTTAATTGTTCTTAATTTGCAAACATGGCCTCAATCATCCATTTAAGAAAAGAGACAAGGCATTGCGCAAGAGCTGGAACTTCATTAAATCTACATCCTCATTTTTCTAAGTTAATTTCCCTAGTTTGCCTTCATGTTTCTGTTTACTTTAATTTACATCATTTACTTTAACATAACCAATTATCTAGGTGTAACAGAACAAGCTGGTATGAAAGAGCATATTCAAGACCCTCTGGTAACCATCAAAACACTTTTAAAGAAATTAAGTAAAGTGATGTAACACAAAGCAGTCACAACAACTCCCATACAAAAGTCTCATTTTTCTAAAAGTCTTGGGAGGCTAAATTTCATTTTAGTTTGTATCGATTTCATTGTTTCACTCTCACCTTGCTTCTAATTGCCTTCTGTACCTCTGCTGTAATGCCAGAATATTACACACTAAGAAAATGAGCAGAAGTTTAATTTTTCTAGATCACGTTGAGTAATTGTTAAGCAAATATAGCTGTCAGGGATGAACATTGTGAAATCTTGTACATTGCCCAGGTATTTTCCTCTTGAGTGTTAAAATTTCACAGTACATACAGTGAAGGGGACTGAGTTTCTGGTTTGTATTTCACAAGGTTGCAGAAAGTACCTTTGAGACAGATTCCTTACTTGCATAAATATTCTCCACCTTGAGCTCACTTCTCCTTTACCCACCTCATTGGAATATAAAACATACTTCTTTCAAATCAACAAAAGCTTACACATTTGGCAGTCCTCTGCTGCAATGTCATTGTCAAAGTTAATCCGTTTTTATAAACTTCCCTTCTAAGAATAACTATCTGATTGCTTGAAGGGATTGAGGTTAAAAGCAGTTTAAAAAAAAAAAGGCAAATCATTTCCAGTGCAAGCAAAGATGAAGGGCCCACTAGTGCTTCAGGAATTATAAGTCTCCTAAGTTGTAAAAGATGTCTTCACAAGAAAAGCAAAGAAACCCACATTTCCGATGGTGTAGTTTTTGCTAATAATGACCTAGCATATCAACCTGTATCATCCTGACTTTGTACATGTGCCTTTGGTTTTACATGACTGTCATTCAAATAAAGGACAAAACAAGCCTTTATTGTAGACTTTCTGAAATAACACCTAAAGGAGAAAATTCTGACGAAGTTTATAAAAAAAAAAAAAAAAAGCCCCCAAAAACAAAGCCCAGACAGACACAAGCACATAAAGCCAGATGGCCAAAAGGAGCCAAGGAAGGGCAACTGAAGAATGTATAGTAACTAGCTTCAGCAGTCCCTCAAAGAGCAGATTTATCACTCTCCCTGTGAGTGATATTCCTTCACATAGTTTTGGGGAGAGAACTATGGGAAAGGGTTGAATGAAGCACCTTAACAAGTCGTGTGTGAAAGCCCTGTATCTCTGTTGGACCAAGGGGCCCAATCTACTGATTTCTTTCCATGCTTGTGGCATCATAAGTTAAATAAAGCAATTCTAGCAACACATCCCCAGCAGTTCCAACTGTCTCAAAGATTCCTGATGAGAAAATGAGATCTCTGTTGCAGCAGCAGTGTGAATTTTGCGCCCTGTTATCTATGTATACATATCTCTATCTATCTAGCAAACCCTCCCTCCTTCCTAGAGCTCTTCCTCCACATCACAATTTTCTACAAGCTCCCTCTAACACTCTCTCTGGTTTGGGGAAAACGGTTACAACTGCCACATGCAGACAGTAGAAAAAGCCCATGTGCCTGCATATTGGGATTACAGCACACTTTTCTGTAACTAAAAAGGAATAAGCAAAGGACTATTTTAAGCAAAGGACTATTCAGCAGAACAGCTGTATATATAGATATCTAACAAAAAATGACAATTTCAGCCAATGAAGTTGGTTGCTCTGCTGATTCCTGTCAACGTACAAGAAATAATTCTGCTAAATTATAGATCTGTGCTGTCATCTGACATGATTTGAGAAGAATTTTGATTAAATTACAGCCTCCAACATTTCCAAGTTCTTCTTCAGTTTGTCATGTCTAATTTAGTTTTAAAAAGCTGTGCGGACACATATTCCATTTAATATCTGAACTTGAATAGTCAAATACATTTCCATCACATTAAATGGACATGTTTTCTCTGTCCAGTATGAAAATACAAGCATTTAATGCATTATTCAATAAAACACAATTTGAAAGACTGAGGACCATACTGCTGATTTTATAAAGTAATTTGAGATGAGGATCTGAAATCGTTCTTCTATAACGATCTACCGACCTTTTCCAATTATAATAATTGTCATGTATGCAGCATTTTGATTAATTTACTTTCTTTTATTGTCTATAAAAATAGACTCTGAAACTGAAGCACACAGAGATTAAAAGCCTGAACCTGATATGCTAATCCACATAATGTGTCAGTGACTGAGGCAGAAAAAGATGCAAAATACTGCTTTAGGGACATCAAATTATTAATAACAGATATAAATTCCTGCTACATTAAGGAAAATAAATATCATACTGGGAAGAGAGTTTTAACTGACATACAACATACAGATATGACTGACATACTACCATATGTCACATTTTAAACAGATTAAAAACTCTTTACATGCTATACGCAACAGTAGCTCCTAGATAGCAGATGATCGAACACAGAATCATAAGCAAATATAATTACTCCTCTGCAAGTCTAAACCAGTTAGTTAAACATTACAACAATATCAATAATCTTTGCTTGGCAGGTCTATTTTTTTTATTCAACACGACCTGTTATAATGCTGTGGGTCAAAGACTCAAATAACCAAGTGCAGTATCACTGACTGTAATGGAGTTTTAAAATACCTGGTCTGAAATTGCCGATTGGTTTTTCCCTTATCAGTCAGATCTGCTGAATCAATACACTTCTAAGATTGTTTGCTAATAATTAGGTATCTAAGCACTAATCACTTATTTGTTTGCTTTTCTTTCAGCAGACTAGTATTTTAAGAAAATGTTTTATAAATTATATTCCACAATAATTATGCTTGTCTAAATATTGAGCAACATAGTTTCCTGAAATGGAATCAATTCATATATGTGTTAGTATTAGCAGCCATTACCTTGGCATCTCAGGTAACTCACAGCTACTGGTAAACACCAGTAGAAACACTGGTTCAGATAATCTTCAGGAAATTAAATGTGTCACTTACTTTTCGTTGCTTTACAGAATCCAGTTTTACCAACCAATATGATGCCACTTTCGTTTTATGATACTTCCAATTATCCATAATCTGTAGTCAATGCAAAACACAAGATAAAAGAAAGACACATAAGAACACCTGAAATATGGCATTTCATTCACGAGCATTCCTTATGCAAAAAAGCATGAGCATCTAAAAGACCTTTGTGAAAACTTTTTTCTAAAAGAAAGATAAAAATATCTGCAAGATTTCTGTGGGGGAAAGTTTTGCAAAAGATGTGTGCAATCTTTCACTTTAGTTCTACCCTCTTTTTCCACCCGATTCTGAAAGCTGTACACTACAAAGCAACTTGTCTTGACTGGCTCAACTCAGACTCCTTGAACACAGCAATAAGTTCAAACACGTATAACTGTAAAATCTATTCAAATAGTGAGGTTTTCTGCTACAGAAAATACATTAGACATACCTCAAAAACATTCTTTCTATAAATGATCACATACGAGCTGCAATACTATCCCTCTGTGATGTCCAAGTGCTACCAAAATAGCTGGAGCGTGAACATACATTTTTACTTTCATTTTGTTATTTTGTCTTTCTATCCTATTCCAGACCTACGACAAGTTCTGCCTCACCGTCAACTAATATACTATTACTTGTTTCCTACCATGATGAAATACCATTTCCCATCAGAAATTCGTGAAGGCCAAACGAATTTATGAAAGAATCCTGCACTAAGAAAGTGCATTTATAACCATGCCAACGTTGTATGAGAAAGCACCACTAGATGGAGCGCACACACACACTCCCACCCAGACATGCATGCACCCACACACTCACATGTCTGAAATCAGAGAAAATTTAATGAAGCATTTTATTTCTGCTTCTAAGATGAGAAACTCAATATGCTAGTTATGAATGCTATCTTCCCGAATCACCCAAATCAACCATCACTACAGGAGAATGTTCCACTGTGACTTAGTTGTGCAGACTACTAGAGATACAATCAACGTTTTGAAAGCTCATGGAGCACAGAACATTTTCAGCTAGATAATGAATTAGATTAATTTTAACAGACCATGGACTGTGCTCACTTCAGAATACAGGTGTTAATTTAAATTACTAGATCCCTCCATATTTCTACTGGACTGAGAAGAGAACTTCTACCCTCTTTTTTCTAAGCCGATGTTAGTTTATCTGCACTAGATATTTAAAAGGGACTTAATACTACGTAGTTTTGCTTATCTGTCTTAATGATAGGTGTTGCTTTTTAATTGCCCTTGAGTTCAGGTATTGTTTCACATGTCTTTGATACCAAATTGTGAGGCTCAGGACAATGCTGGTTCTAAGAAAGTGTAAGCTGCCACACTAGAAGAGCCAAAAAGAGTGTGTCTGGTGTTCTTTACAGTTTGCCTTGCAGCATACCATTCTTAGTGCTTTCGTAAGTCTTTTTGAGAGCAAGCTGAACATGTACTGTACCAACAGTATCACATGAAATATGAATTGTAAAATTCTTCTTAGCTTACTTAAAATTTCGAACTTTCTTGACAATGAAAAACTGATTTTTCCTAACCTTCCTGACTGTTTCTCATATATTTCATAAAGAAACAGAAATGTTTTCATTGCTGCTCTTTTAAGGTCAAAAAGGATGCAAAGCTCCCTGCTTTCAAAATCTTTTGAATTATTCCAAGTTTTAGAAGTTTTAAGGCCACAGGAGCTCATGAATCATAAATCGAGCTTTCTACTTTCCTTCATTTTAGTGGCCTAAACACTAAGTGTCTAGCCTGCTATTCTTTTTTATTTATACATACTTACATCTTCTATAATTAATTCTGTTTCTTCAACTGTTTTTCCTGGGAACTTCATTCTCATGTCATTGATAATGAGAAGAGTCTCTTTTGTCAAAGCAACTTCTTGCTCTTTTGTTTTCTGTTGCAGCAAAGACTCACTCTAAAAATCAACATGAAGCAGAGGAAAAATTCCAGGCATGTCATTAGATCACATAACAAAGATGTTTCCCTGACAAAAATAAATTTTAAATAGGGTGACATAAAATATATTATTAACGTGCATAGACATACTGTCTACTATATAACTAATATACACACATATGCCTCACACACTAATGTACCACCATTACTTAGAGTTGTCAAGAAATTCAAGAAAAACAGTTAAAATATAAGTTTGAAACAAACAAACGTATCCTCAATATTTATGATGCCCACCATTTAAAATAAAAATTTGAAGTTTAGATAATAGACTTTGAATTTAAATTCAACATAATGAAAAATAATTTATTAGTCACAAAAAACTTCATTTCAGTTCTTCACTGCAACAATTTAACAGAAACTGCCAATAATATGCCATACTGACAAGATTTCAGCAAGTATTAAAATGTAAGGACACTGTGCTCCTAACTCTGGTCAGGGAGAATTCTGACAGTGTCTTTAATTGTCCATTAGTTTATTTAAAATACCAGTGCTCTTTATACCAACACCAATCTGAACCCCTACAGTGTCTGTGTGAGGCTGTCTCTGGAGGGTTTGGGGATTTTCTTTAAATCTTAGACGCTAGTTAGAAATATTTCTGTTCCCGTTTCTTTACTTTTGCATACTTTTGCATTTGCAGGATTAAATGAGCTTAATTTTGTGTTTTGTTCAGTGAAATTGAGAATTTTTAGGCATTTCTAAATCTTTTGTTTTATAAAAACTACAGTACTTACGGATATTTTTAATTGATGAACATTTTCAAGCGTAACAACATATTTTGCAGAAATATGTGGCTGAAATAAGATAGCAAATATTTCCATATCTACTTTTGTTTATAACTGCTATCATAAAGTGTCTGTAATTCCCAGCCATAAATGGCTTATTCTAAACTTAGTTTCTGTACTTTTAGAACATTTGGATTTCAGCAGCTTCCAAAAATGGCAGTATACTGCTCTTTTCTTGTCCAAAGGATAGATAAACTAATACTTTATCACACACAAATGATTTCTTCATAGTAAGTTACAGTTTATCAATTTTAATTTTATTCTAGCAGTAATATATAGTATATTATTCTTAGTTGCAAAAATAATTATGGACAGAGTTCCATTCACAATATAGTGCTAAATTATGAGTAGTTCTTACCCATTCTGTAAGTAATTTTATTCACATTATTTTAAGAAGCACGACCTAAGCTCTATCACCCAACATAATTGTTCTGCATATCAAGATCATTTCTGTGGTGGAGCTTTCTCAATGAAAAAGAGAGTATGGTTTCTCACTAATGTTAATTTAAGTGAGTAGCCCATTTTTAATGTCAGATGGTAAGAGACTGTTTTCAATCTTTCAGTAATTTGTATTTGATAGAAAGTTAATGTGAATAGAAAAATCTGTATTAGGCCTGTCTCATTAAATTCTCAGAATACATCTTGATGATAAAAGTGTACTTTTTAAACTTGAGATAGCTAGTGTGATAAAAAATACCTTTAACATGTTGCAATGAAGACTCAATCTTAATGCCTTTCCAATTCTATTAGCTGACTTTAAAGATGGAAAACCATGTTAAGGAATATTTCACAAGATGTCAGCACACAATTTTAAAAGGATCCTTTTGCATCTTTTAGACAAAGCCTCACAGGCAAACCAGACAATGGGAGTGCTACTGAATAAAAATGATGATTAGAAATAGTAAATACTATGAAACAAGTTAATTATCATTACCAGAGGATTTCTCACAATCAAAGCTCATCACAATAGGGAAAGGCTGCAAATACGCGTTAAAAGTGCCAATTTGTTTTGCCAGCTAAATTAGTTGGGTGATGAAACCAGGTCAGGCACCAAATCATGAATGGAAACGCACTGGCACCAGCACACAAATACAATACGGAACGAGGCTGGGGACTGATCCCAGAAAACACTGCCTGAGGATAAGTGCATATGTGCTCCATCATGCAAACACAAAAGAAGAAATGCCTCGGCTGTGAAGGAGATACCAAAGAGGATGACAGTCTGGTCACAAAAGGGAAAAAGAAAATAAAAATGTACATTTCAAAAGTACATTGTGAAATTACAACTAACCACACAAATTCTAAGCAACTAGAAGTGTTTAATCTGATCCATTTATTCTATTAAATACTTAGATTACCTGAATCTAAATGCTTGTCTGTCTCAGGAACAAGCTTCAAAATGAAAGAAGCTTTGTCTTCACTTGAAAAAAAAACATTTGTTTCTGAGGTATTTACTGCAGATGCAAATCCCAAAGACCTCAAGAAATATCTATACATTACATTTTCAATTGGGTTTTGTTTGTTTTTTTGGGGTTTTTTTGCTGGGTGTTTGTGTGTTTGTTTGTTTGTTTTTTGTTGTTTTGTTTTTGTTTGGTTGGTTTATTTACTTTGGAAGTAAAGCTCTACTGCAGTGGTATAATGTATGCAAAATAGGTACAGTATGTTGAAAATTAATTACACCTTCTTCTACAATGGACACCCATATAAAGTCCTACTAATGTTTTATTCTGGTACAGTATATTTACCCTTGGAAATATTTTTTGAAATATTGATATATTTTTGTTACTGTAAAGATTTTGAAGGTAGATACATCCTTATTTCAGAACCAGCAGTCCCCACACGGATCGCAGAAACTTTAAGAGGTTAAAAACAACCTTTCTGTCTTCAAAAAACTATTTAGGCAAGGAGTTTTGCCAGTCACAAAACCTCTAAGATTTCCATTCTCACAAAACGTAACACCTGTATTGCTGCACCAGAAACACTGAAACATCACAGCAGCACTGACCATAGGTCATATGCAGAAAACTGGAGAAATCTTATATTCCTGAGTTTCTGTTAAAACACCATTGACTATATAGTACATCAGGTTTTCCGACATCGTAAAAATTAATAATGTATTTATTGAGTTTTAGGGAACTGGAACACATTTTGAGTGCAACTGCTGTGTGAACTCACCCCTGAGGAGTGCATAGTTCCCAAGCCGGATGCCTGAGGGACTCTGGCGGAAGACGGGCTGCAGTTTAAGGAACGAGACCTGCTGACGGAGGAGGCGCGCTGGCCTTGCAGGGGTGCTCGGGCTGAGAGGGGACGGTGCTCCGCGGCCTGTGACTGCATAGTCAGCACTGAGATGGAACGAGGGCAGCTCACAGAACGCCTTATTGGACCCGTGGATGATGTGGGGGATGAATATGATGGAGATTTTACATTTTTAGTTGAAGGTTTCCAGTTCATCCTACCTGCAAATTAAATGAATGATGTAATTAATTATTATTCTCTTAACATCTATTTTTCAGCCTTTGTAACTAAAAACATACATGATCAACATGTGCACGTTGTAAAATAAGGTATGTTAACTAACAACTACATATGTAGCAGTCAAACCTGTCAGACCCCCTAATAATACATACTTAACATACTCTAAAAGAACATTTATTTCTTCCTTACAGTCAGCTTTAATCAGGTAGACTCCAGTCCTCTATAACATGCATCAGATTTATGAAAGAGTGTGTATGCCCTACAGGTCATACAAAAAGGATGTGGCTACTGTCTGTGGCTTCCTGACTGTAAGAATATGGAAGCAGAGGAGCAGATTCGGTTGATGGATGCTGTATTTGCAGAAGTGTTCTCCTTCATTTGCTCCTGCATAGCTAGACAGTTTAATTCAGTCTTCTGCTAAATAAAGGATGCTACTTTGAAAAACAAAATTTTAGGAGCAGCATTAAATGTGTGCAATTATATGATTAAATTATTTGAGACAATACGCAGCTAAAACAAAAAGCATGCTAGATCTACCATGTTCAACAGAACATGCTCACTGCAATGCTCTACAGCAAGCAAGAAAACAGTCACAAAAATATCTGTGCAGGGATCTCATCTGGAATATATTACCTTCTATGTGTCTCCAGATAGATTTCTTTATCCTGTCTATATTCCAGCAGATTCAAGCTTAATAAGACTACCTTTTACAGGGAAAAAAAAATAACTAGATGCTCAAAAAAAAAAAAAAAAAACACCAAACAAATCTAAGACCAAAGAGGAACATTTGCACCATTTTAAAGTTTAGTCCAGCTGAACTTTTCACTTTAGCTTTCTCTGGAAAATAATACTGATTTTTTTTTTTTTTTAATTTCCTCTTCATTAATTTAGAAAATATTTCAAAGAAGACAAAACAAGCAAACCAGTGTTTAAGTTACGAACGTTGATACATTCTAAAATACTGTAGCATTTTATATACTTCATCATGAACACCAGATTCATTTTGGAAAAGTGGTCATTTCACCTACCTGATCGTTCCAAAGACTTGTATTTATTTTCTTCAAGATCATACGAAACTTTTTTCTCCTTTTTTTCATTGTGATCTTCCTTTTCAGTTTCTTCTCCTGATTCTGACATACTGCTACCACTACCACAGCTACTGTCACTGTTGTAGTTCTTAAGTTTTCTACCGGGCTGTGCACATTCTGGCATTGAATACAAGGGCTAAAGCATACAAAGAAAAAAAGAAACAAAACAAGAAACTGAATTCCTTCATAATCCCAAAAGATTATCCTTTACTATCTTTATTATCTTTCACTACTATACTTCTTTACCCTTAACTATCACAGTAGGTCCCCGATTCAGGCAGGTTTATTTGTACTTAGTTAAACCCTCCCAAATGAGACTGGAAGTTGGTCCTTAATTTAAGAATAAATGGTTAAATATTTAATTAAATTCATCTCACAGTAATCCTGATCTTTATCACAGGAACAGTAGTATAATGTAGTGGGGGGAGGGGGGGGAAATTTTTTATTTCAAGTATGATTTACACTACCAGACCTGTTGAATTATAGTTTGTAATCACAAATCAAGTGAAATAGAATACCATTTACAATCAGTTTCAGTCCCTCACTGATATTTGCAATAACTGAAACTATAGTTTAATAATGATCAATGTGAATTAAAGAAATACACCAAAGATCTTTGGCTGATATACTTCTGAAAGAGAAGGTGATTAATCCAAACCCTGCAGAAAGCAGAAACTGGAAAAATATGGCAAGCTATGCTAGGTGTATTTAATGTCCCATATGCACGTGGGATTCATTGTCATTAGGTAATGACCTGACACAATTGTGTTATGACCATGGGTACTTCAAGGCAAAAATCAAAACGTAGGAGACAAAGAAACTGATGGAAGAACAGAAACTGCATTATGAAAATGTTTCTTCTTCCATCCACCATGATGCAGACAAGAAAAACACAATATCCTCCATTATATCTATTACCCTAAGAAGGCTCATGGGTCACTTTTTGTTTTACCTACACATATTCATATCAGTAACTCTCAGCTATAAGAAGCTCTAGTCATGGCCTCATCTTCCTAGTCACCTAATGGACTGAAATTAAAACTCAGATTTTTAAAAATTAGTATCATAATTTCTGAATATATTTTGCATCAGAGTGAAATAGAACAACTCTCAGAATGAATCTAAATTGCCCTTTTATCTTATCATAATGTAATGCATTAAGATTTATCGTGAAGAGTAATAGAAATAAGCCCCAAAGATACTGTTCCGGCAAGATACGCTTTATAACTAAACATATGGTACCTAACCTTCCATTCCAGCCAAGGAAGGAAAGAGATTTCTGCCAGTAACTTAAAGTGACAGTATATTTATGCAAGCCCAAGCTGTGAAAGCAGAAAAAGAAGAGTTGAAGAGTATTCCATTGAGGAAAGCCCTGGCAATTGTTCAATTACCTAACAAATATTTTGATATCTATCTATCTACCTGCCAAAAAGACAAATTAAGGTACCTCAAAACTTAGTGCTTTCTCAAAAAACAGCTGTCCTAACCATGAAACGCTGTGTATCATGGAGATATATGAAACAGACATTCCTGATAAGTTATACAAGGCATAATAAACTTTTTCCAATCAAAATTCACAGCAGCTTTAAGGTAGATCTCATTCCCACTTATCATACGCGTCTTCCTCACACATTCTACACTAAACAACAAGAACATCTTGACCAAGAAATTACGAAAAGCAATAATGACAAAAAACAGCTAGATCTGGGTTTAAACTGACATCTTAAAATAAGATATACTTGATTGCTTAGCAGTTCGAAACACCTTGATTTTCTCCTTATGCTAACCTGATTTTTCTTTGATTAAACTCATGTGATTTTATATCAGAAAAATAAAAATAAACATAACTGCTCGTGTCCTCTAAAGCATCTGTTATTTTTTTGCTTCAGTTCTTTTTCCTGCAGAGACAGGGCAATGTAATAAACACGACTAACCCTACAGTGTGTAAGTATAAGGTGCCATCTAGAGGCTACAAATAAACCAGACACTCCCAGAACATATTTCTCAATCTAAGTAGAATTCAGTAATATTTTCATTGCAGGTAAAAATTCCCTCATCCTGGGAAACTCTTGACTTGTTTTCTACTCGGATCTCCCAGTAACGTTCAAATAAAAATAAGGCTGAAATTCATAACAAATATGGAAGAGCTGTTACATGCCAAGCTTATTTATACACACATACTCCTCTGTCTCTCAGATATGTATCTCTCCATGTATAAACATATATATATATATACATACACACAGAGATATACATTTCTGTACATGAAGGAGGATGAGGAGGAAAACATCTCTCTCTCATAACTATTCCAGATGTTCTGTATCACATTTTCTGAGTCCTAACTGTTCTTTTTTCTGAGGAAGAGATTGCACCCAAGGCAAAGCACCTAACCTCCTAACAGTAACTTTGTCAGCATGTCAGCCACTGACCTTTAAGGGAGGACAGGACTTTATAGCCTTCTGAAAGAACCTTTCTTATTGTGTAACATGAAAAAAAAAAAAAAAAAGTACTAAAAAAAGATAGAAAATACTACCCCCTCAGGTTTGTTTTGTCTATTAGATCTTGCATATGCTACTTTTTTTATGTGCTAATGGGTATTTGTAGGTTTTTACAATTTGAAGATGAGTTTTACAGATGGATTATTCTCTCACCTCATAGTAGAAATTACTATTACCTGTTAATCTATGTCTGTATAGAAATCTGGCAAGTGAGATACACTTAGATACTACATATCTCATAGCAGACCCTTTGGAAAGAGGTGGCCAACCAAGTGCATATTAGTAGTCACATGCACTTTACCCCTTACAGGAAAGGGGTGATGCTCTTTAGGTACAAGATACAAGGACCATCCATCAAACTTCACCTTAAAACTAATTAAGAGAGGTTTCCCAGTTTGGGCTCAGTACCCTATTAAATGTTTATGACCTCCAGCTTGGGAATAGCTCATGTGCAACCAGCGTAGAGGCAGTATAGATCAACTCTGTGTGCACAGTCAGCCAGATAGATGCATTCTGAGGGCTGCTGGGGAAAGACAGTTTTCTGGAAAAAGGAAAAACATGCCTGAGATGTTAAATTTGAATTAAGTGACCCTAGGTTAAAGAACTGTATTAAACAAAACCTCAAGGGAAAGAATCCCTGGAGAATGTGGATCGAGTGTGTTGCTAGGGTAGACTGGATTTATTTGTTTTTTCTCTTCCTTAAATGAATCCACCACTGTTAAAGCACTAACTCACAAAATCCCCATATTTGTAATGAGGTTCCTGCAAATCTATCTTAATACCAGACTGGGTATGCAGATCCTCTTTCCAGTATGCACACCTATAATAAGATGCAGCTCTTTGGATTCTAGCACATATCTGAAGTACTTCTGCAAGCTCAGGACAATTGTCAACATTCATTTTGTAAAGATTTGTCTACCATGTCAACAGGAACATAAAATGCTATTAGAAAAATTTACATGTATCCTTAAACAAATCCATCAGAGCTATTCTAAGCTGACTTTTTTCAGAATATAAGAAACTTTATTTGGCCTAGCCCAAACTATTGATCTTTTTTTCTCTGGCTTACAGAGATACTCAATCTATTTAAGGCAAAGATTTGCACACAACCAGAAAGTATTAAGCTAAAAATAATATATATTCACTTTAAAAGCAGATTTTGAAACAGGCTCCAAGATACACTGTACAGCCCTTTTAGCAAGTAAGCAAGCTACAGATACATCATAATCATAATTAATCCTCTGAGCTTCCACAGCACCTTTTATCCCACGATCTCAAAATTCCTTAGTGGCACTAATCGATTAAAGATGAAAGCATTCTTTTGAGATAGGCTATGGATATAAAAATTATTTCACACACTGAAATTTAGCAATCTCTAGTACAACAGCTGTTGCCATGCACTACAATTCCTCAAAATATCTTAGAAAGGAAAGGAAGGATCTCGCATCCAGTTAAAATCATAATGGGATCTAGTCAGATAGGTGGCAGTTATGCTTCTCTTCACACATAAAAAAAAAAATAAATAAAAAGGGCTTAATGCCAGTCTCAAGAATGAAACTTCCAGCAGGATCAGCTAACTAAATTCCCTACTTAAAATTCTCAGACTATTGACAGAATGAAATAAAAAATTGACATCTAAAAGTCAAATACCTTAGGTCCTCGCTGCCTGGTGCATTTTCCCATTAGTTTTTCATCATCTATTTCACACTGCTCCAGAAGATCCAAAATGTCCTCCTCCTAGAAATGGGAATTTCACTCCAATTAATTCAAAGCAGGACATATCCTACCCTCACAAAATTCAAGCACCGAGTGGCAGCAATTTCAAATTACTTGGTTTACTAATTCCTGCAATAAGACTATGAATCCCTCCACAGGAGGATAGAAAAGTATTTCTTCTCATGCATGCATCTCTGGTTGCAATCAACAGGAAACTGAAAGTTAAAATCAAGTCTTAACATTTATTAAAGATAGAAGTCTGAAGAAAGGGGTGAACAAAGATTCCTGTGAAACTGCCGTACAATGCCAACTACAAAGTCAGGAAATGTTATCCCAGATTTCAAATTAAATCACATTAGTTATTTTAAATACAGCTGTTTTCCTGCTGTCTCCGACTACATACATAGGCAATCAGGCAGAGTTTTTAGATGCTTTAAACTAGTGCAGCTGGTTTTATGACATCTTTTGTTCCAGTCCGTCCAAGCGGATGATTAGGCTGGGGACATTACTGGAGGAAGGAGGAGGCAATTACCAGCTCAAAAGCAGTTTCTGCCACCCTCTGGTTTGGCCGGGGGTAAGGCTGAGGATGAGAGAAATGGTAAAGTAGTTTAAAGCCATCTAGCCTGTGTCCACCCTGGGTCCACTGCAGTTCATCCAGATTCAAGGATCTGGCCCACAAGCTGCACAAAGAATAATAATAAAATGATGGAAACATTATCAAGTGCTATTTATTAGCTGTAACACATGATTATTGTACAACTAATCCACAAGGTCATGAATTCCAACATAAATAACTCCTAAAGCCAATACTTGTTGTGCTTCAGTACCTTCATTCTTTTTAAAGGGTTATTCATTTCCCGTTGAAGAGAAGCTGCTCTCCCAGCAAGAAACGTCTGGAAAGCAGTGGCTAACAAACTCTCATACTTTTCAAGTAATGTCTGATCATCAGGAGGATAAATTCGCCTAAAATGGGGAGGGGGGAAAAAATGAGCTTAAGATATTAAGAAGCTGAGCTACTTATCACAACAGGAACAAACGTTAATGCAGCTAATTCACAGTCTCTTCTACAATGCACCCGCATCCCATCTATAATAATTATATAATATATCACAAAGCATGTAATTTGAACATTACTATCTAAATCTAATTTTAACTGAGCGAACACACTTATGGTTAAACCAGCAATTAGCCAGTCAAAAGAAATACCGTGCAGGACGTTCTAGAGATATACCAAAACTCAGTTGTGCAGTGCTCTGAAATTGCAGTAGTTGTGAGTGATGCATGCAGGGGTGACCGAGTCATGAAACATTAACAAAATATTGCATGTAAAATTCAGAGCCAAAAAATAATTTTTACTAGCAACAAAAGGACAAAAAACAGTGGCAATCTGAACAATTGCTCTGAGTTAATGGGTATGATGCAAATTAAAGATTGCGTATGTACTGCAGTAGAACTCTAAATCCTCCAAAATAATGAACAGGAATAAATAGAAACTATAAGGAGAAAAAAAAAAAAAAAAAAGGCACTACATTTCTTGTATACAGATGTACAGGGTGCTTGATTTTCCATTAGAGCAGCTATGCCATAATTCTCTAAAATCACAGGTAAGGAGATTATGACAATATGAGAAGCAGGACTTGGTGATTTATTCATGCTCATCAAGCAACAATGGGCTCTGAAGAAAGTCACTGCAATCCATTTGTCACGAATATCTGCAACAGACAGAAGTGATGAAGGTAGAAGACTAATTTCTAATGTATTGTAAGGAGTAATCCATAAGTTAACTCTGCCTGCACTTTGCAAAGCATAGGTACCATTTATATATTGATGGGCATTGTGACTTTTATGTTTTTATGGATCTTTTGTGAACTTTTTACAAGGTTCTTTTTCCTTCTTCCTTTTGTGACTTTTCCTCCTTGGAGAAGTACCTTTCATGATGATTTTGTTGAAATGAAAAAAAGGATGTTTATGATCCCATTAGATTCAGGGCAGTTCAAGAGCAAACTGAAGATAGTTCCAGTTTGGATAGAACACCTATAGAAGCACTATCTCGTCCCCATCAACACTTTCTAATGGCTTTGATTCTACTGCTGGAAAAATGCCATAGAACAATACTTTAAAGAAACTATATTCATTTTAATATATATATGTAGAAATACACTGTAGCTAAAGGCCATTTCAGAGTTCCGTATATCCTTCAGAGCTTGAAAGCATGGCCCCTGCTTTGACCAGACCACTGGAATCAGTGGGCTAGTTGTGCTTCTAAACCAACACTTGACTAAGCCAAATGTTGAAACAACATCCATAGATTAAATCAAAGCTCCGTGAGGCCAATTGAGGTTTCTCCAGATTTTTATTCAGAAAGCAGCATTAATCCATGCAGCAATGCTAGCACCCAAAATTTCCATTATTCTGTGGCAACGCCTGACAAACTAGTTCTGCTCTGTAGGAGAGCATCACAAGGAGAAAATGCTGCATCATGCCCAGATAAAATTTTTCTGCATCTCTGGCCAAGATTCCTTTATTTCTCAGGCTCTGCTGATTCTTCAGCCCTTCTGGAAACACATGGTAATAAAAACCACAAAGCTGTTTTGTGCTTTTACATGAACATATTCCTCGTGAAATGAAACTTCACTTTTTCTTATAGTTTAAGTAGCATGTAAATAGCTGCTTCATTTTGGTCTTTGTTTGATGTACTAGTTCAGCTCTAGAAAAGATTTAAGTAAAACTGGGAACAAGACAAAGAAAGACTTTTATTAAGCAAAATTTTAATTCATCAGAAATTAAAGTTTCATGGGAACATCTTGTCTGTTTAAACGAGAACTTTACTGGAAACTGTAGAATCTCTGTTCAAGAAGAGCAGTGATGAACAACAGCAGTAAAGGCATTCTAACTAATTCAGAATAAGATGTGAACTCAGACCTCCCACATTCTGAATTAATGTTATAAAGAGTGGGCAAATACTGTCACCATCTCTTCTAGCCGTAAAAATACTTTACTATCTGGTGTACATTTCTGGCAGAAAATTACCATCTACCACAAACACTTGTTTCCATTGTTCCTAAAGAATACATTGAATACCTCCTACTAATACAGTCAAAAATAGTTACCTATAGTTCCCCATGTGTCTATTTTCATGCTCCTCTTTGGAAATCTGTTTACGTACTTGTGCAAGCCTTTCCTTCTACAAATCAAGAAAATAAAACAATTAAAACAAAGAACACACAAACTATGGGCAAGAAACAGGATTTTTTTTTCTTTCCTACCAGTTCTTCTTTTCTCCTTTCCAGTGTGTGACGTTGCTTCTCCCAGTCTGATGAACCTGGCAACAGTTTTTTCATTGAACCTTGACCATACAGTCTTTTTTGAGCCTCAGCCTTCTGTTGAGCTAAATTTCTCCTTTTATCACTTGTCCTGGGACACAGATAATATTAATATGTCAATCCAATGCAGCTGAGATGAAACGCACTTTAACCTCCAGTGTATCACCTGGATTTTCCAGTCAGTCACAAGTGGTTTATGAAATGAAATTATAACTAGATCTCTCATTAAGACTGCTTTTTTTTTTTTTAATATTAACTTTTATGGTTGCAATATTTTCACACTTTAAGGTGTACTGTAATGATTCTGTACTGTAATTTAATGCGAAAATATGGTAGTATCTGTTTTCCTGAAGCGTAGATTTTTTCCAACATAACTCAACTACAGAGTTTTCCTGTAGAGGACTATGGCTTTTGACTCCATGTGAAACTATCGCCAAAGCAAATTTCCTGCATGGCTACATGCCCATGACTCATTCATATCCCCACTTTAAGACCTGTTTGAAAAAATCATTTAAAAAAATTACAAAAATTACTATTGCAAGCACATGAGCAAGAAGAAAAATTAAATTTAGATAAATTTCCATAGCAAAACTGACTGCAAGGGAAACATTTACATTTTGAAAATATGAAGGTGCAAATAAAGGTCTACATTTTCCCCTAGTCCAGTTCAAATCTTTAAAGAAATAAATGAATCAAAGCAACAGAAAGAGAGACAGACTAAAGAAAAGAGGACAAGTTTACCGTATGTTGAGAAGCTTTAATGCATTTAGCAGAACACCTTTTTTTACATCATAGTCTATTTTTTGATCCGTTCCAAAGCTTGGGGCACGATTAATCTGAAAAATTGAGATACAGAAGACTCAGGAATGTTCAGGTTCTCTGGGAACACATCTATTGAAACAGGCTTTGGAGAAAACATTCTTTCAAATATAGCAGAGATTATGAGAATACATGTTGAGAAGTTCATTTCCATTTGTATTTTTTAAAAACAGAGCACTGTGTATCACAGACACTGGGAGCCAGGAGGTGTACCTTTCAGCCAAGTTATCCAGACCCTAAGAATGAACACCATTTCAAGTACTGGCAACTGTGACTCCAGTCTAACCTATTCTTGGCTGTAGCAACCAGCAAATTTACCAAGCAAGGTGCTGTCAAACACATTATGAAAGACTGTATGCCATGCTATAGTTGTCCAGCACAGGACAAGTTAAACTCCTCGATCCCAGTCCAAAAGCAATACGCCTCTAAAAAACAACAGCTATATTAGGACAGAAAGATGCGCTAATTCAAGGTCTTCTCAAGTACATTTAAATAACTATTCGGGTATGCTTCACAGAAACACCTAGAGATCCAAGTTATTAAATCAGTACACAGTATGAAAACATAAAATAATTAAGAATCTCAGTAACAAAAAGCTTATAAGCTAAGTACAAGACAAGAGATTAAAAATGTTACCATAAATACAGAGGAAGAAGGGAAATGCAACTGGGAATCAGTGAAACTAAACCAAACACTGAACAGCCAGGAGTCTCAATCAATCACCATAAAACCACTGCCAAGCTCTGGAGCGCCAGTAGAACTTCGTTTCTCAGAAAGCTTTCAAGAAGGACAATGAAATAGCTGCATCAACACTTCTAGGACCACCTTCCAGACTGGTATAAAAATTCATACATAAGCAGTGTGTGCTAATGAGAGGCAGGAATCTCACCTTGACAGTGAATAAGCAGTGCTGATTACAGAGGGGACAAATAGTAAAGAGCTTCAGAAGGGAAAAGTTATTTGCACGGGCCTCCAAGCAGAGGGAAAAAGTGGTTTATTAAAATGGTGTTTTAACACTTCAGATACATTAGGGTATCTTACAGTCTTTATGTTTGTGGGACAAAACTATTCTGGTTGGTGAGCCACCAGCTTGTTTGCTAGTTTTGCAGACAGGCTGGCAAAGTCAGAAATGAGATCTGATATTGAAAGAAAAAGTCACAAAAATTCAAGAGAAATAGTGAAAAAGTCTATACATATTCTTTTTTGGAAGATTTTCATCCAAGTATTTAATTGACCAGCCTTCTGTGTCTTCTATCACACAGGCTATTTTTTTTCCCTATACTGTAAGGGTACAAACATTTATTGACATTCATTTTTTTTAAAAACATTGATGGCCCACTTTCAGCTAAGCAAACAGGTAAACATTTAGAGAAATCAACACAAGGATTAAAGTCCAATTGTCCAACATTTCACTGGAGAATACCAGAAGTTGACAAGACCACAGACACACTGCATCTCATTTTTGACATGACATTTAAACAAAGCACTTTAACTAGAGCAACTAACAATATTCTACTTTGAAATTATGGGTTTGCGTGCATTAAAAACATGTGGACAGAAATAAATTTATTAAAATTTCCAACAAATCAATTTCTAAATTTTAATGTAAACTGAATCCTTAAATCTAGTGAGATTGCAGTTAGATATGAGGACTTATTTGGATCATGTAAAATGCTATTTTGGTCCAATACTGAATTCCTAAAGCTGCACAGACATGTTTACAGAGCACTGAAGCGTCCAACTGGAGAGCACACAGAAGTGCACACTGTCGTACTTATATTTGGTTTAGGTAATTCCCAGATTTACAACAGTTTAAAGGATAATATTAGGTGTCAATTCTGCATTAATAAAAATGTTATAAATGTGTTACATGAACACCAGTGAGAATTAACACTATGAAAAGTGTAAAGCTTTAAATAACAGTTTCTCTCCTACAGCGTGAATTTTGCTAAAAATCTACATCTGGCACTTCTGAACAAACAAAACCATACTGACTGTCTTTATTAAGCAGAAAATTAAAGTGGGATTAAGAAAGATAAAAGAAGGCATTTGAAATGCTATTATGAAGAAAAATGCTATTACAAGACATTACACAAACATTCCACACTAAGGTTTCTGTCATTTTAATGCAGTCATTTAAGGGGCTGAAGAGGTATGGCATTCATAGTTAAAACTGGAGCACTGCCATTGCACCTACATCCTCATTTTTGATATACCATTCATGACTAATGTTTTAATTAGTGTCCTGTGACCTCAGTTCTTTAAAGTAACTAGAGGGGCAGTAAAACAATGATCCAGTTCTGGATAGCTATTGCGAGCTTGGTTTGGTGCAATATGTTTCAGGTAGTAGCAGAGGCAAGCCCAGCAGAAATAAAATCCAAGCAACTGGGTACCTTGGAAAGCAAATACGCAGAAAGCAGGTGTGAGCTTGAAGATTATTAGTTATTCCATACTGTCAAGGTGTATACCTGAACTGTCTTTTGATATAGTATGAGTATGTGCAAGGATGCTTTACTACCAAACTTTACTCTTTAACTCTCTTTATCTGTTCCATGCATCTCCCTTCTAACAACAGGAACTTCAAGAAGCAGTCTTCACAGCTGACCTTATTGATAAGTAAACCTTTTAGCTGATACTTAAGTATAGACAGAGTTAGAGGAGGTATAAAAATGGGGACTATCTTTGTGAAGCACCGATACTCAAAACTTCTTAACCTGAACCACTGCATATGTCTGTCATGCAAAACTACCTATACTCTTAAAGTACTTCTGCAAGAATTCATAATTCATGAAACAAAGAGTTTAATCCACAAATAACATTTTTAGAGCAGAAAAAAAAAAAAAACCTTCAATGCCAGATAATACTATCCCTGCGAAGATAGCAACTAATTAACCTGGGCTACCACAACATTTTCAGCCTCACTACACGATGCCTTTTCAATGCTCCACTCAGTTGCCCTCAGAGGTGACTAATGTGTTTTTCCTCAGCAGTCAGAGTCTTCCTATAGTAGACTACCTGGGACCTCACTCAAAGGAATAAAATAACTACATGCTTGATCTAGCTGAATATCTTTCATGATCAACACTGCACTTAAAGTAGCAGCCAACTGGTTGAATCTACTCATGACAGATTTTATAACACTAATACTGGAGTTATGGTAGTGGCACGCATCAGGTTTCTTTCAAGAAGCTATCTTCAAAACTTGATGTTTTCTAATCTCTTGTATACAACAATGCACAGAAAATAGAAACTGCTTTATAAACAAATATAATTTTTCTCTATATAGACTCCTGGACATAATGTTTCTCACATATATTGTACAAGATCACAGTTTTATCTCCGTTATCTGTTTTACTGGTGATGACACTTTGCTGCTTTACCTGTTGTGACTTTTCAATAGCTATAGAACTGAATTGTCCACACAGTTTTTAATTCCTCCTACTCAAATCTTCAGCTTTGGTTTCACAATTTAAATTTCGCTGTATACAGCACATACAAAAAATAAAATCAAACCGCTTGTATGTACAGCAGTTGTATAGCTCAGTGCATTTCCGAATTACACACTTGTCAGTAGAGAACCTCACATCCGTAATGCTTAAATTAAGAAACATAAATTGAAGTACCTACTGTGAAGGCTCCCACCCACAGTTACACTTGAAAAGGCTTCTGATTTTACAAAAAAAAAAATAAACTGCAAATGTGTAAGATACAGCATTTTCTTCTTCACCAAGATATGGGAAAAATTTCACTCTGGAATTTCACCTCTTTACCAGAACAGTCAAGGAGCACATTCTCACCTCCCACTGCCGCAGCTGATCAGTATGGTGTAGGAAAATAAATTTTTTCACTACCTGTCCTATTGAAAGACTGTTCAAATATAAAGAAAGATTACATTAATTATTTTATAAAACTAAAAATCAATTAATAAAATAGTACAACCTTTCAATAAACAGGGATTTAGGCTCTGTTCAATCTGTAGGACAGCATGAATGTTTTGGAAAGGCTCTCATTCTTTATTAAAGTGATTGAGATCACTAACAATAGAATTCAAAAAGCAAAAGAAATTCTAAGCTGTAAAAATCCTAATACACAGAATGCTGTTAGTGGCTATCATTGAGCAGATTTTAGATTAGAGACAAACATGAAGTTCATTCTAATCACCGATTTCTAAACTTCACAAATTGTAAGAGTGCTGTCTTTTTCTTAGCTTAAGCAGAAGGCTGATTTTTCCATGGCAATTCAAACTACTACAAATCCAAGCCACCACACTCTGCCCACTTCATTGTCTCACCACTGGGGTTGACAGAGAGTGAGCAAGCTGATCCAAATGTTCCACACAAAGTTTAACCTCATCAAAAATGATTTTTCACTGGTCCTTAATCATCATGGGAAGGAATTCTACAAGTACCAGTGTGATCACAGGGAAGGGGACAAGAAGCATGCCTTCAACAAAAGAGGGAAGAGACCTCGCTGCCAGTCCATTGATCAGTTTAAGCACCACAGAACTGCCTCCCACAGGTGCAGTTTCACATTTCACCTAGGTCAGTACAACTGCATGCTGCCACAAAGGCCCAGCCTTGTTCCTCTCCTAGTCCTGCCTTCATGCCCTTTCCCATTGCCCGCCCCAGACCAGGCATTGTGCAGTCCCTGCAGGAGGAGCTTCTGCAGACTGACAGTGTAAAAGCATGGTTTCCTTGGATGGATAAATTAGACATTCATCCAAACAGCAAGCAGAAACATCTCATCCAATAAACCTGACTACCAGACAGAGGCAAACTGCTAGTCCAGCTCTTTGGGCAAGTAAGCACAGTAACACCGTGTCATATGTTAAAACAAACTGCACTCTAACTCTTTATTCATGGGAAAAGTGTGAAGAGTAGGAGTTATGCTGAAGGCAAATATTGAGCCAGTTGAAGCCATGTGTCCATAGTGGATCCACTGCCACTGTTTGAGAGCAAAGGGAACCCCATTGACAAGTGTCACAGAGAGGACAACACCAACAGACAACAGGAGAAGGAGTCTCAAAAGTGGCTCTCCAAGGCAACAGAGGGAGAGGTTGCCTGGGTAGAAGAATCACTGAAAGGAAGTCTTTTCTGTTATAAATAAATAAGATTAAAAAGAAGGAAAGGACTGAACCACAGAGTTAGATGAGTAATCTGTTGCTCTTCCTAATGGTAACTGAAAAGGTTCTAAATATTACAAATCTTTTGGGTCAAGGGGCAAAAACTTTTACAGCTTTGTTTTTATACATATATGTATATAAACACATCACACAATTGAAGTGCTTGACCTTGCTGAAGAGCACAGGAGGGCACTGTTAATGGCACTCCATACTCACCCAACCAATCCTTAATGCCTGTGCCCCTAAGTACCTCAGCACCTTTCTGCTAAACTCATTGCCATTTGTCAAAGTCTTTCCCTTACTCTAGGGGATAACAATGGACAGAATATTCCAGATATGGCCTCACAGGTGCCAAATACATCACTGCCATCCAAAAAGTGGGACAACATCACTGTAAGTGCATACTGACATGCTCAACACCTGGAGAAAGTGTGACTGAATTTGGTTTATTTTGCAGAAGGTTGGTCATTTTCCACAAGCCATGTAGCTGATTGAGATGCAGCACTTGATCCTATCTAAAAAAAGATTACATTTAGGCAGCAACTTCATGAAACATGGTACCACTCTAACAATCAAATTGCCACAAACTCAGTGAGATACAATTGAAATCTCTTTCCACAAGGCTTTAGTCTAAGTTGTACAAGAAATGTAAATGCCATTATGCTGTATATTTAGCTGTTTCATACTGCATATAATTTTACTTATATAAGGGGCTAAATACTGACTGGAACAAAGTATCTTGTTTTGTCCAGTGTGATAGGGTGAGACTCTGGAGAAGTCTTGGGCAAAAACACTGCATTAAGAAAATTGCTTTTCTGTTAAAATACCCTTATAAGAAAGCACCGTTCTTTATTTTTCATGTGGATATTCCTTTTTTTCCAGACAAATATGGTTACTGACTAATCTGTAAGACAGCAGTGTAGTAATCTTGATTGTGTACCAGTGATCTGTCACAGTAGGTAATCAAAATAAATGGTTACCAAAGCATTGTATATGCATATTTTCTCTAAGAGAAGACTATGGAAGAGCTCAATGACCTGAGAGCTGGGACATATACATGACTAGGCTGAGTTAATGTAACAGTAGTCATTTTATCAGGAAGGCTCGTCTTGAAGATAGTTGACAAAAACAGGATTGTATGAGGCACCTCAAAAGTACAAGCAAATGATGATACTGAAAGTCTTGAAAATCCAGAGACTCTGAGATGTACACCAATCTCAGTGTAGCCAAGTAGTGCTCACTACAGGAACGCAGTCCTGTGGGCTAGATAACATTGAGTCTACACTCTCAAAGAGAGCACAGTAGAATCCAGGAAACGTAGAACAAACCACTTATGGTAAAACTTGGAGACAATCCGAAACTGATGGCCAGTGAACAAACAGCCAGTAAGTACACAGTGGTAGCAACTTAACAAAAACAACTCCTAAGTGAATCTAAGGGCATGGAAGAAGAAAATTTCACCATCAACAGTGTGTTCTTCTGGGTTAACAGCATAAGACACTGATAACATGCTATAAGCACCTACTTTTTTTTTTTTTTTCCCAGCAGCAGACCTCTCCTGCTACTTGTTGGCCTTTGAATCTCCAGGAGCACAGGCAGGGCAGGCTTAACACAACAGAAAGCAGTAGATACCAGAAAACCAGAAAGTATGTGAACTTTAACTACTCTATTAATAGGAATTAGCAATAATTGGATACTTTGGTGTAAGATGTCCAGCGTCATTTTAACTGTTCTGATAAAGTTTTAAATAGATTTTTCTAGTTCAGATACACTAACTAATAAATTTGCGGATTTGTATGTCAGGTTGTTTTCTCTCACCCACATAAATCACAAGGGAAGTTTGGTACCCTGCAATTGAGGCAGTTATTAATGTGACTTTTTCTCCAATAATCACAACTTTGTGATCTCAGTTGGAAATAATGAGGTTAAACAAGATTGGATTCCATCCAAGAGCTCCAATTGTATGACCTTCCTATTTACATAAAATAATCTAGATTGGAAATTTTGGTCATAAAAAAGACTAAGACGGGATTTTCTGGGAACTGAAGGAACATCTAAGTAGTTGTTGCTACTCAGAAAGGATGAAGGCTGCTGGGACTGCACAGATGCTTGCCAGAAACATTTGGTGCCACAAGGTGGCAATCACGCATTTTCCACAGCTCTCAATTTGGTAGAAGGTTCCGGAAGTTCAGCAGCTTCAGGGAGCAGGAGAGCTACATTGCATCAAGGCAATTTAAACAAAAGACATCTCAAGAAAGCAGAGTCACTATAATGCTGCACAATTTATTTCTTCTAATAGTTTATTAAGCTATCTTTATAACAGAAAAGCTACATGAGGTATTGAAACATGAAACTAGATTTACCATCCTGATCCTATTTTGGCAGTCTTCCCGTAACACTGGGAACATTCAGAGCCTTATGATTAGTGCTTGATACCACTGTGAGAAAGAATGATTCATTCCCCTAAAGGGGTTTTGGCAAGAGGGAAACAGTGGAAAGAGATAAGAGTGGAAAGTTGGGGAAGAAGCCAAAACTGGTTTTAGGGGAAAAAAAAAATTACACAGAGAGATATATATGTACACTCATACTGTATGTATATTATATATGGTGTGTACATATGCACTGCATATTTCATTTTTACTATGCTATATATAGTATGCGCACAATGTGCCTACATATACAAACTAGTGCTAAACCCAAGCACAGTACAAATCAATGTATGGGTACAGAAACCGAGTTACTGTGAATTTCTAAGTTTCAGATTCAAGACTTCTGTTAGCTTAGTTCCATGCCTGGCAAAATAAGTTGAAAGATACCTATATCACTCAAAGCAGAAAAGAAAATAATTAGACTTCTCTATTTAAAAAAAACCAACCAGGTAGACAACTCCATGTCCAGAAATATTCTCCAGCAGGCCAAAACACCAGAACAGCATTTACTACTTTAAGATAGTGAGATTCTCCTCTGAGACCCATTATCGTAAGTGGTGAATCAAAGTCCCAAAAATTTCCATGCTGCATGTGGACCTCCAAGGAGATAGAGGCATCCTTCAGAACAGATTCACTACACAGGTTGACTCACCACCTCCTAGAAGCTTGCCATTGCTACAAGGCTGGATGAAATGCATACACAGACCAACCTTTAGCCTGTACTTAACTGCATACACTTACGTGCTAGCTATTGGCAACCTATAGATGATAATCTGGAAACAGAGCTAAATCAAAGGGATAGTGGGCGTTGCTTAACAGAACCAGAAGATTTCAATGCAGTATGGTCTAAGCTCCTGCTATGTGCTGCTTTCGGCTAGCACATCAAAGCCACCAAATATGCCCATATCTGCATAGCAACTTTTCCAATTAAAATTATACTGAACACCTGAAAGAAATAAGCACAACCAAACAACTGTTGACAGTATTAATGGCTTAAGGATAAGGCTATAATTCAGTAATTAACATTTGGCTCATCAGTAGCCAAATCATATTTATGGTTAGTTAATATTCTTAATACATTTTGCTTTTTTCTCCAGCTGTACAGCCTCCCAATCAGTTAACATAACAACATAAGGCAATCTGAAAAGAAGACAAGCTAACTTCGTCTGTATGTTATTAACAGTGATATTAAAGAAACATAACAGAACTCAAGTATTCCTGGTTGAAAAAGTATTTGAGCACTACTTAAGCTTAGCTGTACCACTAACCCATCAGAGGAGAAATATTTCTTCCAGTCGATTCACACTAATTGTTTGACAGCATTTCATGTATACTGAACTGGTTTCCTCTGTTTAATGAGGGTACTTTGAAAGCCACAAAAGAGGAAAAGAACATACATCCCCAGAAAAAGAAAGTTAAGATCATATATTCAACAAAAATATGAAAAAATTTTTTTAAAAAAATGGCAAGAGCCATATTACAGAGACCTACTCATGAAGGAAATCTAAGTGGCATTCAATTGCTATAAACTAGGTCCTTCAGCTACAATAATAACTGGATTAACATCACATTTCTCATTAAAGCTTTCAAAAACATCAGAAATGCAACATTGCTTCAGGAGAGCAATTACCTTTACCCAGATCTCCAAAAAAATCACTGCAAGACACTGTTGCCATATGGATGCTGAAGAAAAAGCATAATCTACATACTGAACAGCAGTACCTCCTGCAATGCACATGCCTTCTTTGGAAGTTTTCTTACATAGACCTGGATTCAGCTGGGGCTTAGTTAGCTTGACTCTTATGCATTTACATTTGTTTAAAGAGGTTTACCTCTAGGAGCCATGGTTTTAGCTTTCTGTCCAGCAGAATATCAAATCCCAAGACTTCAAAGCAGACACTGTCACTTCCAGGTGCTTGACCTGGCCTGCACATGCGATAAGCATGAAGAACATGTGGCTCTGCAACTATGAGAGTCTTCACCACTAACTCCTGTAGGGATTTTTTTTTTTTCAGAAAAAAATAATTAAAATTCATTTAAATTTCATTAAAGTATCTACTAAAAATAGATTTAACATAGCAAAATGATGTGTAATAAACTATTCCTATGGAGCAACAGATCAACAGATATAATTTTTATATAGCTCTAGGGTATATCATACTTCCCATAGTTGATATGTACTTGTAGATATGTAATAACTTAAATACTAAAGACACATTTGGAACAACATAGAGCATAGCCAATCTTCGCTCATTTAATTCTGCAATGTAATTTTCAATAAATATTCTCAGAATCATACATACAGATTGTGCCTAAGCTCTAACAATCTTAGGTCTATTCCTCACCTAAAATATATGTAACATAACCAGTGACTTCAATGGTGCAGGTTCAAGTTCACAGATTTATGCAACACTGACTACAACCTTATAAATATTCACACATAAAATTCACTTTATACACCAGAAAAGTCTCCAAGAACTAAATGGGATGGTTCCTTTGTATTCTATTACTTATGTGAATAACTGTTTGAAAGTGCTTTTGTCCCTCAGAAAAAGTTCAACGTTATATTTATAATCAGATTCTGAATTTATTTAAAAAAAAACACAATCATAACTTATAGTAGGTCCTTTGTGTACGCTGTATTGCTGAGAATTTGGATTACTAAAGTTTCACAAATCATTATGGATTCCAGTAAAGAGGGTGGCAGAAGTCACTAATTTTCTAAGAATACACAAAACAAATAAAAGCATATTAGTTTTATCTTACTGAAATATCACTCCAGAATTTGGACACATCAAGATTATTTGTTTCTAGAAACTCAGTAAACCACTTGATGGAGCGTTTGCTTCCTTTGTCTTCTGTTTCATCCCGTTCAAAGTGTTCATTGTGTTTATTGACAGAGTAGTTAGTCAGATGCATATACAATTGACTCTAAAAAAAGAAAGAAAAGACACTTAAAAAACCTTACATAAAACTCTAGAATAGTCAATTCAAAATTAAAATTTTTTAAATATGTCAAATAAATAATGACATAATCAAACACTTCATATTGGCAAACACACTACACGTAGATTTAGTGTTTCTGATTCTTGGAGATTTCATCTAATGGATGTTGTAGCCTTCTTATAACAGAACTTGTGCTCCTATTTAAGGCAGTTGCAGGCAGCTGATCTACCACTCAACATCTGATTAGGCAATATATCTGCCATTTTTACAGGTCTGTATGTAAACAGCTAGCTAAAAAAAAAGATAAAGAAAAATTATCACAATTTACAGAATAATTACATTCCACAGGAAGCAAACAATAAAAATAGTATTTTGAAGTGCTACTTTAAAAGTGCTAAAAATCACTCTGGCATCTGTTTCACAGACAATCCCACATTTCAGTTTTCACTGTAATTTATTTATGAGAAATGTTCTCATTATAGCGATACTTTAAAATGTCTTTTACATATAAACTAATCTGTCGTGTTGATATCTGCCAAAACTGCTCATTTTTGACTGGCTGGTAGCCATACATCAGAGGGAGGTAAATTTCAAGATATACATTATATAAATGAGTGAGTGTTGTAGTTCCTTTATAAAGTAAAATATCACAAGCAGATCATTATCATTTGCATTTAGAAAAGAAAAAAAATTACCTTTCCAAGGCCAATTTATAACTCATGATTTATGTTTACATTATCTCCCAGAACAGATATTAATTCAGCCTTCCACTTATACTACCATGATGGCTGTCCTTACCAGAGTGACAGTTCTCTGTCATGTTTGATTCCTCACTTTGACTGTAGTTGATATTCTAAGCTGATCATAAGACTTCTGTTCCAATTCCTTTTTGATAAGACAGCCAATAGATAACACCACCCTTCTGCTGTCATTTATCTCACTTCACTTACTTATGTTTAAAAAAAATCATTAACAAAACAAATCAATTTAATTACAGGTTAATTAACAATATATTGTATTAGCACTACAAAAATATTAATTTCTCTGATGGTTTCTAATTACTGCTTTGAGAATCATTCTGAAACCTATTTTTTTCAGTCATTGTAACCGTCATCTTTCCATGAAATTCAAACTATTTCAGACAAAAGCAATTATTTTTCAGACTATATGATATTTTATTGTTTTATTAAACACCTGAACTAATATTTAGTCTGAGGTTATCTGGAACAATGTCACTGTGGAACAACATCATTCAAAGAATAATATCATTAGTTATAAGCCAGGTTATTTCATCATACAATAAGCAAACTACAACACGAACAGCTGTGAGAACACAGAAACAAATGCTTGTTCTGTTTATCTGCTCAGAGCATATTTCAGTGCTGCTAATGCTACGATAAGTAATATTAAAATACATTAAAAGAGAACTATTCCAAATATAATATTGGAACTCTTACAAATACACCATTTGTACTGGACTACAAATTATACCTGAATTCTTCAAAGGTGCACTATAAGACCGTCACAATTTTAAGTGACAAGTAGGGGAAAAGGCTCTCCACATGCTGTCTACTGCCTAATTACACTGAGGAAGCTATAAAAGTATACAGTTTGGAAAAGGAAAGAAAGTAGCAATGGAGTACAGAATGAGATATAAGAAACTCAGTCTACTGATGACTCCCAGTGCTTCAAGTCTACTTGTTTCTTAACAGACATCTGCATTTCAGCCTGTGCCAGGGAGGGTTTAAACCTCTCAATAGAGGAAGACACTACACAGTGAACACGAAGATTGAAATACCCCAAAACTTTAGCATGTCCCTTAACATTTCTTGGTTCTCTGCAAGTTTATAGGCAGCCCTGCTGTATCATCCTACAGTTGCCAAGTACGTGCTCCTTTCCCTGCTGAGCTGGTCATCGACAGCACCAGCAATAGGTTACCTCACATTCAGGGACTGCAGCGACCACTCTCATGTACTGGTCTTCTGCACCACTGTTTCTCTGGTTTTGGGTTGAACACAGTGGCTGAAACATCGCAGGATCCTCAGCAGAAGCTTTAAACTTCAGGGATGTTAAACAATGCTCTAGCAGGAGATAAAGCCAATCCACTCCTCCAACCCACCCCAAACAGAGTCTCAGATATATATAAAAGCAATGTAACTGTTCTTGAAGTTACTTTCTTTGCTTCATTTTTTCTGCATTGAATGTCAATAATTGACATCTGCTTTACTTTAAAAACACTTAAGCTTGTCAGCATGCATACATGCAAAATTTTCATACATCAGCAATAGTATGGCTATACTTGTGATTCTGATAGAAAGGCATGAGTTAAATAACTTTCACTGTAATTTTTTATCTTCAGTGACAATGCAAAAGTTCAGCCAGATGCATACCTAATTAATCTTCATGTCACAACTACCTGTATTTTACCAGCTCCAAACACTACACAGGTAAAAGTCTACACGCATAAGCAATAAATTGGAATGAACTCCCATCTTACCAAATTTGAATCACTGGGGGGATGATACTTTTCCGTGCCCATTCTCACCAGTCCATCATGATATAAAAATACTTTCAATGGATCACAGGAGGTTACAAGAATATACACTCGTAAATCAAACTTGTAGCCTTCCATAAGAAATGGTTTGTCAAGGTATTCCTGAACAATCAAGTGATCCTGAGCCTGTAACTTTTCTCCATTTCTTATTAAAGAGGGACTGGTAAAAAAAAAAAAAAAAAAAAAAAAGTCATTTTAAAAACATGGAACTTTGACATAACTCCTGAAAATACGTTTTCATGGTCACCCAGTCAGGTAGTTAGGCTAAAGAGTACCTGGAGCAAAAGTCTTGCACATCTGATTCGTAGAGTAGAGAAAAAATTTCATTTGCGTACATGGCTTTTGGTTTCCTGTCTTTCATGGTGTTCACTGCATGAAAAATGGCAATGAGCCATTTCAAAATAACTTTCTACTTCCTTTGATGCAGCAGTTTGTAATAATGGGTTCCCTGCACACTCAGAAATTGTTTGGCAGAATGAGCAGTCTCTATCTTCTGTGATTATTCCCCCTGCAGCTCTAAAAATAGGCTTCCAGTCTTTGTCACAGCTTCTGCCCGAGGTACAGGTTGCAAAGAACTCTCAGTGCTAACCTGACACACTGCTGAAGTTTGCAAAGCAGGACGCTAATCGGGCTGGCTAAGGATGGCACAGATCAAGCTCAGTGTTCCTGTATTCCAGTTTCCCCACATCAGAATAAAAAATGGTTTATATACAGACTATAAACTGGCAGACCATAACTACAGATTTTTAAATAACTGTAACAGATATTTTTCTGTGTATAATGATTAACTCCAAATTCCCACAGCTTTGTTGCCTTAATCTTACTCTCTATTATTTATGATACATTTCAGTCTTCTGGTAGAGAATACTCCTAATATACTGAAGTACTTTCCAGGCATTTCTCTGAATTATGCTGCTACTTTTCCCTTCATCTTATCTTTGCCCTTATAAAAAGAATGGAAAAACAAGGAAATAGAAAAGTCGTGGGGCTTTACTTCTACAGTAATTCTGGTAGATTTTTAATGACTAAAAGCTTTCACTATACTGTATAAACCAAATCGACATTAAAAGCAATAAAAGCTAAAATTGAAATATTTAAAACCTAGAACAGAGTTAAGAATTAAATATTTATCTCATGGGTTTTTTTTCTGTGCAGCCCTGTCACAGGTGAAACTCTCTCAACTCAGCTGCAGGCTGCAGTCTCTTCAGAGGGTGTCCCTCTTCTGGTATGGGTGTCATCTCCTTCCAAGAGTGCACCTCCAGCCACATCCCCAACAGTGTCTCCTCTGCTTCTCCTACATGTCATGGCTGCTGCTCTTAAATATGTTTGTTCTTCTCTGACTGATTCAGTTTTGGCACACAACAGGGTGGCTGGGTTGGTCTCAGAGCTGTGGAAGATCCAAACCTTCTAGCATATATGACACCCCTGTAGCCACGCCTGTAGCCCCCAGGCACTACCACTCTGCCATTTATGCCCAGTACAATCTCACCCCATATATCTAAGCCAAACAGATTAATAAATATACATTTAGATAAATTTACAATTAAAATAATCCTGATCTTAAGAACTATTTGAGCTTCATCAGAAAGTGCATTCTCTAATTATGCCACATTCAGAACAACATTAAAATACCACTTCAATTTAGTTTCATATTTTAGTTGTTTCTGTTTGTTAAGCCTTTGGCCAGTACATGAACTTTTACATATCGCGCAACCTAAAATAAAAAAAATCTTTTTACTAATACACATCTTCTATTAGTGAAGTAAATTGCATTGGAATTCACCTTAAATGGGTAAGATGACTGAAGTTAACAGACAACTCACCCATGTCCCATTGCACCGTTGGCTGGTTTGACTATGAAAGTTTTCTGTCTACGTTTCTTCTTCAGTTCTTTTACATAGTTCTGAAACTGTGTGTATTCTGCAGGAAAGATCCATGTTTGAGGAATAAAAGTATACTCCTGAGGCTGACTCTTGATCATTCTGCAAAAGTGTAATTGATATAAAATCTTTTAACTACTTTGATGTTTCAAACATCAGGATTAAAAAGTATTTTCAATAATTTGACAAGGAAACTTTCTTAGCAAAATGCTGTAATATGAAAGCAAACTTCTGCCATTATTTAAGAATAGTTAGACCTCTATAATATATTCACATGCATACTTTCAGAACAAGAAAAAGCATCTTATCTTGTGCATTTTTGAGTATTATCATATTTCCTTATTATGTTACTGACATCCATCTTATTTCTTGGCATCCAGATCCCTCCTGTTACAGTTTTTGTTCAGTTACCGAGATGATTTAATGCTATTCCTGTTCTTAGAAATATTAAACTTACAGCAGATCATGTGATTCTAGATCTTCCCCCACCTAGCAGACTCCTGAATTCCACCCACCCTCCCCACCCCCGAGGGGTGGGGATATTTTCATCTTCATACAGGTATGTGTTTGGGGAGGTATGAGGATCACCATACACAAGCTTGGATTTGTGTTTGTTACCAGCATATTGCAATTCAGTTCCCCCGAGCATCTCACTGAATCAAAAGAAAGTGAAGCAATGCAAAGTAAGACAAGGGGCTGGGGACAAAAATGGAATAAGACTAAGAAACGATAGAGAACTATCTCTGAAACTGAATCTGGTCAAGGGATGCAGCAAGGTCCTGATCTCCCTGCTTTAATAGTTGTGGCATTATATATCTCATTTTATAGCTCTTTTGTCTGTAGAGAACAGAAACAGCAAAGGAAAAAGGAAAACTACACTAACCAAATTCTCTACCATCACCCAAAGCTGTGTGTCTGGCAGACAGGAAACATGTAACACATACCCACACCAGACTGGCAGTATGGGCTAGATATATATGGACTAGCTTTAAACAAAGTAGATTTAATACTGGTTAACAGCCAAGCTGTAAGAGCCGTGTGGACTTGGTGGTACTATACAGACTCATATACCATAGTTCCCAGCAGAATGAATATAGTCTTTGCTGAGTTAAATACTGGTGCAGCTGGATTGTTTCAGGTACTCTGAATACTTGAAAATTCATATATAACCTCATATGAAATTAGTGCAGATAACTCAAAACTACTCTGTAACACAGAGCGGACACATCTGAAATACAAATATCCACAGACCAACAGGAAGTGGCTGGATGTTTAAAAAGAAATTAACTGACATAGGAAGTTCCCCAGCTTAGATTTTTCAAAAAAAAAAAAAAAAAAAAAAAGCACTATGATGATATTTAATTACAGATTTAGTTTTCATTGCAAAAAGAATAGGATCTAACAGTAACAGGATAACTGAAAAGTAAAAGACACTTAGAACATAATTTCAAATTTTCATTCCTACTATGATCCTACATAATACTCTCTCTGCTAGTCAATGGTGACTGGGTTACTGATCAGTTAAGAAAATTGAATATACATAAGTCCATGGGCCCTGATGAGATGCACCCAAGAGAATTGAGATAAATGGCTGATGTTGTCACTCTACCACTCTCCATTATTTTCGCTAGATTGTGGCAAATCAGAGAGATGCCTGAGGACTGGAGGAAAGCCAGTGTCACTCCAGTCCTCAAAAAGGGCAAGAAGGAAGATCCTGGAAACTTCAGACCAGTCATCCTCACCTCCATCCCTGGAAAAATGATGTAGTGGCTCATTCTGGAGGTCATCTCTGAGCACATGGAGGAGAAGAAAGTTATCGTGACTGGTCAGCATGGATTTACCAAGGGCAAATCATGCTTGAATGATCTGATAGCAATCTACTATGTGGTGACTGAATGGGTAGACTCAGGGAGACCAGCTGATGTAGTCTATCTTGACCTTAGCAAGGTGTTTGATACAGTCCCCCATAACATCCTCCTGAGCATGCTCAGGAAATACAAGATAGAAGAACAGGCAGTGAGGGGGGTCGAGAACTGGCTGCACAATAGAGCACAACAGGGGGCGATCAATGGTGCCAAGTCCAGCTCCGGCTGGAGTCCTGTAACCAGTGGAGTCCCCCAGGGGTCAGTGTTGGGTCCAGTCCTGTTCATCATCTTCATTAACGACCTCGATGATGGAATGGAGTGTCTTCTCAGCAAGTTTACTGAT